GAGTGGGGAGAAGTTGTGTTTTAGCAAGGTGAAGGTAATGTTAGGGGTGTTTGTTCCCCCCCCCCCCCCCCCCCCCCGTTGCAAATCCCGTTTCTTGGCTCGCTTTGCCCGATTCAAAACATTAAACTGGCGTCCAGTACCGCGAGACCAACAGCATGAAGGCGTCGCGAAGGCTCTTCGATCTTTCGGGCGTGAAATGCCGGCAACACATCCCCAAGCAGGACAAGATCACCATCGACTTCTCGTCCACCCGCAGATAGCCTGACCGGGGTCTCTCCCCCCCCCCCAGGTCCTTCGACCCCCCCAAGCGGTTTCCGTTGTGCTTGAAGAAGTACTAATAGGCAAGAATAGCGGGGCACGGGGGCGTGTGGCGTGTCTTGCGCGACACCCCTGTTGAAGCGAGAGATGTGCTGAGGAAGCTTCGAGACACCTTTCGTTCGTTTAGTCTGCTGGTTATTTTCATCGCGCAGAAGAGTCGTTCGTGTCTGGGGCTCGTGGCTCTTTGGGGACAGACCCGGGTAGAAATTTCGGTTTTCGAAGGAAAGAGGCGTAGTCCATCACGAGGGGTGCAGCGAGAGAGATAGGCGGAGGGAGGGGGGTCTCGTTAACCTCAACCCCTACCGGGGTTGCTTGCCTCGGAAGGTCGATATTCTGTCGCCATCGTGGCTTATCTCGGTGAGCCGCTGAAAGTTCCAGGGTGGCCGCCGCCGTGGGTTAGCTCTAGTCTGTGTGTTGTGGGCATATCTGGTGAAGTAAACGATTGAGACCATCACACATTGCTGCAAACAGGATCACCACACACAGTAGCCACTCTCTCTCTCTCCTCTCTCTCTCTCTCTCTCTCTCTCTCTCTCTCTCTCTCTCTCTCTCTCTCTCTCTCTCTCTCTCTCTCTCTCTCTCTCTCTCTCTCTCTCTCTCTCTCTCTCTCTTCGCTTCTCGTGCCAACAAAACCCCGGACGACGCCCGGAGAGATCGTTCGCCACACACTTCAGCGCGACGCATGGTCTCCGACCCGTACTTAAGAGAGACACAAAAGAGGCACCGGAGAAAGATTAATATTCCGGCACACCCCCTTTGGTAAGGCTTAGCGTTCACTTCCAAGATCCTGCGTCACCCGCGGTACTGCCGCTGAGCCTCACTCGACCAACAATCGTCCGCGATCCGCGCCTTTGTCATCCCCTGGCCAACCAAGAACACGGCGCGCAGCAGTGTGTGCGTCAATCTCGTGCGGGGGGGGGGGTCAAGCAAAAACTTAAAATCCGGGTTCCGTAGGTAGGGTTGATGTCTCGTCTGCCGCAAGACTCTCGTTCGTTCGGGCAGATAGTCTAGTGTTTGCATGGAGAGTTACAATAGCTCCGACGAAATACTGCGTCGTATTGTTGAAATATTGAGGCCTGCTCGGCACTACGGCGGTGAACGGCAGAGCTTCGCTGCGCAGCACGGACTCGCCGAGTCAATATACGGAGTCCCCGCATGAAAGGTCACCCGCCCCCACCACCAAGACAACACCGGCACGTTCTATCACCTGGGTGGACAGGAGGATGTCGCCGGTGCTATCCTTAGTGTTGATCTGCTTCATATCCGCGATAGTCTTCCTCGCGTTCACGAACTGCTCGACAGGAGAGACGGTGTCGACGGCCTCCCTGATGGTCGCCTCGAGGGCCTGGCGCGCGTTCATCATTGCGGCGGGTTCTCGCTCCGCCGAACCCCCCGCGGCCGGCGCCGCGCCGACACCGTGGTACCCGCAACCCTGCGCCGCCGTCGCCGCCTCGTGGCGATCTCCGCGCGTTCGTGCCAACGAAGATCTCGCCGCCGGGCTTTGACCACCGCCTCCGTCGCTTTTTCGGGAAGAGGGGCTGTCTTTGCGGGTTCGGGTTCGGCCGCCGCCGGCGGTCTGCTGGTGTCTACCGTAGTGGTGGGAGGATGTCTGCGACGGCGACGGCGGCCGGTCCCTTCGTCGAGAGCACCCGTTCCCAGGCGCAGCGCTCGAGGGCCTTCTTTTCGCCCTCGTTGCTGCTGCCTGTGCCACCGCCGCATGCTTCCCGGCGCGAGGCATCCCGCCCAGCGTATGCTTGGCGCAAGAAGTGTCATCGTCAATCGCTTGCGCGGTACCTCTCCCCGCCCTTCGCTTGCCGTCTTCCAAGAACAAGGAGCCGCTGCAGGCGTTGCCGGCGGACAACGGGCGGCGATAAAGGGAAGAAGCGCTGCTGCTGCCGCATTCTGACAACTCGGGTCTAACGTTACGCCGGCGAACGTCGCCTCCGTTGCTCGGTGAGAACGACGAAGCCGAAGAACGCCGCAGCATCCGACCGAGCGTTGTCTTTCGCAGCGAAGGCGCTCGCCGAGAGACGTCGTCGCCATCGTCTTCCGCCGCCGTCGCCGCTACCGCCGCCGCCACCACTTCCGGCGCCGTCCCGGCGCCGAACAGGAACTCCGTTTCTCGATGGTTAAGCAACGGGTTGCCGTTGTTGGTGTTACCGGCGTGGCCACGGTTGTTATGCGGGCGGGGTCGACGGTTCTTCGCCACGGCAGTCTTTGGTCGCTGTCTCACGGCCGCCGGCGGAGGTGCCGCCGAGTGCGACGCAGCTCGAGGTGCGGAGGGTTGTCCTCTTGGACCAAGAGGGAGATCGCGGTCGCGGGGAGACCACCTCGCGGCGCGGGGCTTGCGGGAGTTGAGGTACCTCGTCCGCTTCACCGACATGCTCGCCTGCGCGCGACGTCAACGGAGGGGTGGGGAGGGGAGGGGGGCGTACTTGCCTTGGCCCCTTGACAAAAGACGTTGTTGACCAAACATCCCTTCCAAGGCGAATCATATCGGTACTTATCGTAATAAGCGTCCACACCAGCAGTGGTTGGGCGCTCTTTCCACTTCTGTTGTGTTGCTCATGGAGGAACTCTTACGTACCTGCAGCGCCTCGGCATTTTGCTTCACGACATCTATCCTCTCGTCCGCCTGCGCGATTCGCGACGCCGAGGTGCTAGGCCGGAGCCTCCCGGTCGCTTCCCCCCGCCCAGCCCCACGGTCGCAATCCCCTCCGCCTCCCTGTGCCTCCGGCGCCCGTTGCCCCTCAACCTCTCTCGTGGCTTCCATCAGCCGCTGGCTCACCGCGCGAGCCAGACGCGAACTGCTGGACGCCCTGGACGACAGCCTCGAGAAGCCCCCTGCCGACAAGCACGCCGACGGGGCCGAACGCGGCCTCGCCTGAGGCCCGCCGCCGTCTATCTTCATCCTGCTTATGTCCACCCGCCTCACCACCTCCGGGTTGTGGTGCTCCCCCCCGCGGGGAGACGATGCCCGCTCTTTTCCTGCCGCCGCCTCCGCTGACTCCCCCCCCGCTGGGTGTTGCTCTTCACTCGCGAGTCGCGGGCCGTTCGTGCCGTCTTTGGTCTCGTCTCCCGCAGCTTCTTGCCCTTCTTGATCTGTGTCTCGGTCTCCTTCGTCGGTCTCCTTCTTCTTGTCGTCGTTGTCGTCGTCGTCCTCGTCCTCCTCCGCCCTGCCCTTGCCCTCCCCCCCCAACTCGGCGTCCGAGCCGTCGCTGCAGCAATTGGGATCGTCGACTAGTCCAGCCTGAAGCTCAGCCAGCAGTCGCACCACGTCAGGGTCGGTCGCTAGCTCGCAGCAGCCTTCACCGCCGCCACCATCGTGGCCTCGGCTCCCCCGACCCCCCCCTTTCCTTACCGCTGCCGCTGGCGGTGCTGATGACTCCACCTCCGGGGCTCCGTGGATCTCTTCGGGTCGGCAGTTTCCTTCATCGCCTTCGTGCTGAACATAAGCGTGGTTCTGGTTCCGCGGAGGTAGTCCATGGGTCTCCCGATACAGGTCCTCGAATATCTGCGAAACGGCGGCGGAAGGCCGCGCCCCGTGTGAATCAAACATCAATCGCAGGTCTGATTAGGGATCGATCACTTGATCGCCTGTCGAAGCTTGAAAGGGGTATGGCGAGACTAATGTACTCTTGGCAGCGCTTTGGCGGCTTTCCCACGACAGATGCAAGGAAATATGTGAGGAGGGGGAGAGTAATGCCTGTAGGCTCCCGTCTACATAACTCGTCGTCGGTGCCAACGTTGCAATGGACTGCCACGGAAAACAGCGTCCTTCATTCGTATGTCTTCTGTTCCATTACCACGCGAGTCTCTCTCGTATTTGCGCCGGAAATGGATGTGACTGCGCTCGACTGCCGTACACCATGTTACATAGCGCCATCCAACGAGGCATCTTCCATGAACAAACGCATCTTGCAGTTTATCCCACACTCTTTCATCGAGACCCCACCTCGCCGATGGGATATAGACTGACACAGCCCGAGGTGACTCCGGCGACTTTGGCTCTGTCCTTGGCCTCTAGAGAGGCCAGCTCCTTGAAGAAAAGCTCGCCGCTGTTGTCGGAGCGGAGAGTCCGGTCGAGGATGCTCTCGCCCATGCCTTCTTTGACCGGCGAAATGGAGGTGAGGGTCCTCTCGAGGTCGTCTCGGAGCTCCTCCATCTTTTTCCCGAATCAAACACGAAGAGGCATGCCAGAACATGAGAGAGATGGCAAGAACAATTCCGTCAGAGTCTAAGAAGCATGAGAACCGGATATGCCTTTCTTTGTCGCAAAGGTTTGCACGGCGCACCGAACTCGTGTAACCGTGAGAGCTATGGGTGTCGAGGTGACCTTCATAGAGGGTACCGTCTCCCCAACGTCTCTCGAGGACGATTCCCTATTTCCGCATGAGCTTTTTCTGTAAACCTTCGCAATAGGCAATATAATTGCTGGGGAGACGACGTATGCATGTCCGTCGCACGTGCAGCCGACGGATCCTGTGGGTTTTGGAAAAGTTTTACAAGACACCTGCCACATGAGACGGATGGGGCCGTCGAAGAGCAACTGGTTGTACGTGTAACGCCAGTCCCAAACACACACAACCACACAGCTCAACATCAAACAGTAGAGACGCGAAAGCAACACCTTTCTCTCCGCATCGTCGTCCACGACCCACGGCCGCACCCTCCGCTCTGGGAAGAGAGCCGGGTCTTCCTGCAAGAGAAAGAGAGAGAGAGAAGTGGGGAGAGAGAGGGAATGAGAGCGGCACGGGTGCCGGCGGGTTCGATGGAACAAAGGGAGGGTCGGAGCCGGCGCGAAGCATAGGACTGCCCGATATTTCATGTGAAGTAGAACCTCATTTTACCATTTGGAGTAAATGTCTGTTTGCGCTTCTCCGATCTTTGGATCATGGTTTTGACTTTGAGAACAATTAAGAATTGCCTGAGAAAAATTTGTAGGAACAAACCCTCTACAAATACACACAAGTAGTCTACATACACATACACAAAGAGCCACCCGAAAGAAAGATCTCCATGGGCAAAGTGTGGGGGGTTGTATGGCAGCGAGTGTAGTCAGAAGCGCACAACAAGCTGACCTGTCCGTTTATGTGACAATTCATTGCACTGCTGTATGACCAGACTATCTGTCGCCAACTTGTGTGCATGCGTGGTCCGTACATGCGGGTGAACATGCACAGAAGGTGAGCCGTGCGGGCTACATTGCGTCTTGGCGTATGGTTGCAACCGAAAAGAGACCAGTTTACACTGTGCCCTTCCTCTAGCCTCTGATAGTCAGTTTGGGTGCTCGAGAGTGCCTACAGATCGAGTGCACCAGGAGTGTTGGTGACGACAGCGGCGGTAGGAATAGCCCGTCACACAAAGAACGTGCTTTCGAATGAGATTGTTGAACAAATAAAGGAGCACGCAGGCGGCGCACCTCAGGGTCATCAACGTCGCCCTTCGCCATGATGCCGTTGACAATGGCGCCTCCACGCGGCCGAAGCAGCAATTCCCTTTTCCCGCATTCGAGGCCGACTGAATCAGAAGACCTGAGAGAGCAGGAGTATCGACGAATGAATCGGGAAACGACGGTTTCCTCGGTTTTCCAAAAAACGCCATATTTTGAATATTCGGGGAGCCCCGTCCTACAGATGTATCCCTCACAACACCAGCTTTTTCTATCCGACCCCGTGACCGACCTGAAGGGCCTTGCGCTGCTGCACCGCTCGTTCGAATGGCGCTTGTAAGAGAAGACGGTGAAAGCCAACCAGGTTTCTCCTCGAAAAGTCTGCAAGACGGCCCGGGGCCCGCACGTATACTTTTCGGGGGCGGCAAAAGGGTTCTTGACAAAATAATTGACCCGCTTTTCGTCGCAGCGTGTTGTGCGGGCAGTGCACAACGTTGTGTTTGTGCGCGTGCGCGCGTGATGCGTCCTTGTGTAGCATCGAGCACGCTTGTTTAAGCTGGCGCTATCGAAAATGTTCATCTTCAGCGAAGTGCGTGCGTTGAACAAAAATTTGTGGCGCGGGTCTCATCAAGAACAATTTCGCCATACAATGGAAAGAGTGAACCACCAAACAAAAAACTAAGCTATTGTTGAAGTATGGTCGGGTGTGTACTGGTGAGACTCTTTGTAGCCTCCGGGTGAAAGCAATGAAAGCAATGAGGGGGGGCAATCGCCGACATATATAAAATGGACTTTTTGGTATACCATTGGCGCGGACCCGCCACCGCCGCCGCTGTTGCATTTTGGATTACACGGCGGGTGGGTGGGGGTGGACAGAACAACACACACAGAGACATTAGACATGAAATCATGCCGCGTCCCAACATCCCCAAGTGTTCGGGGGCGGGCTGTATCAAAAGGTAGCGTCCTAGACTACCCAACCAACCGCCGTCTCGATTAAAATAACAGTCCAGCACGTGTCCCTCTCCTTCTGAGACGACTATCGTTTGCAACAAGTGACCTGCTAGGCGACACAGACGGCATGGTCTAACGAGTAGACTCGGAGAGAAAGGTTTATTCTGATGGAACAACCGAACACATATTCATGAAGTTGAAGCTTATGGAGTTGCACGCCGATGAGATCACGTCGCGCACAGGGCCCTCGCTAGAACCCACGTAGGGGTAAGTGCATACCATCAGACAATATACCGCAAACAAAGCGTACCTTCCCGACTATCTAAGACCCCCCAAAACAAAAAACATTACACCTTCGTCTCCCAAACTCGCAAGGCTGTCTCCTACTCTCTGCTAGCTGCTCCGTTGGTGGTCACATGTATTGAGCATCAAAAGTTCACGCAGAAGTAGTCGCCGCTTGGAGACACGCAAAGATCTCGCTACCACAAGGTGCTGCCACTGCAACGAGAACCCAGGCCGAAAAGGCTTAAAGCTGGGTGGTGAGCTGAGTTCTCCAAAAGGAGGATGTTCTTCAGGGTGAAGAATCATCCTGAATGTCTGGGAGCTGCCCAACGCCGTAGCCGTGCCTGTCGTGTAGTCTAGATGCTCACGGCATCAGCGGCCGTATTGTCGAAATAGGCCCATTAGGAAAGGGTTCGCTGTGCAAGTGCCCCAGTACTACAGGCACCAAAGAAATGAACGCACCTATCATGACGGTCAACAGCAAAATACGGCACCCAGAATATTCAAGGCGCACGGCACAATCGCCGTGAACTGAACTGACTGGCTTCGTTTGAAATCACTCCCGTAGTTATGTACACACGCACGAATTAAGTTACACCCCACTGGCCCACCGCATCGTAAAGGACTGCCTGCCCCCCTCGGTTTTTCGAATCGACCGACAAATGGACCCCCGCCACCCCCCACTACCTCAAGGATCATAAATCAGCGATCGTCGTGTCCTTGCCCTTCATGCAAGGAGCTCCCTCCATCGCCTCGAACATGCTCAGCAGCTGGCGCCCGATGGCCACCGTCACGCTCATGCCCGCGGCGTGCGCCCTCATGCACATCCCTTTCCCGCTCGAGCCCGCCCCGGCGCCGCCCGCGGCGGCCACAACTTGTCCGTCATCGCTCGGGAAAATCTCCACCGCCCGGCGGTCCAGCAAGGAGAACACCTTCCGGCGCTCGAAATCGTTCGTCTGCGGGAAGAGCGGCACGATGGGGCGGTTCGGGGGCGTCCGGAGTGCCGTTTCGGGGTCCGGTAGCCAGGTGTGGGAGAGGGTCGCGCCGAGCTCGCTGAAGCTGGAGTGCGGGGTCATGACGTAGTCGTCGAAGGACCCCATCACCTACGTCGGGGTGGTGGTGGTGGTAGTCCGGTTGGCAAGGACAGAGGCAGTGGTCGTGGGGGAGGGTTGGTCGGCAAGGACAGCAGCAGTGGTCGAGGGAGGGGGGGGGGGCGGGGGGGGGCGGCGGTTACGCCAAAGATTTTGCTCCTACCTCTGTGGTACTGCAGCATACATTGTATTCAGCAGTAGTGATTTGGATGTGTAGGCGGGGTTTTCATGAGCTGGGTGGGCGCGCAAGACTGGCTACAGAGAAGGAAAGGGGGCCTTGCATGGGGCGCTTGGTGCACCGCCACAAGACGGTACAAAGCAGCAGCAGTACACCCCAAGTCGATGCAAAAGCAGCAACGGTAGTGCTGTACCTTTCTTAAGGGCGAACGACGCCTCTTTTGGCTGCTATTGTGGTGGCCTGCGTGCTCATTTCGAAGAAAAAACGCGCGTTCTGTCTTGGGCATCACTCAGCTCTATCGTTCGACCCATAATTGTACGCAAAGAAAATGAATTGAGTGGGAAGGATGGCAAATGTGTGACGATCCCGTGTATGTGGTGCGCAGTGGCGGTGGGGCGATCTTGAGGAGCACTAAACAACTCATCGAAAAATACAAAATGTCAATGGTAGCCCCAACGGCGACAGCATTGGATGAGTCATGGAATACTCCCCAAAATTGTGGGATATGGTTAGGGTTTGGTTCAATCGAGACGGCGGTGTGTTGCACACGCCTGCGGGGTGCAGCACGACAACGCTCGTGCGGCTTCCGGTACTCCCACTCTCATTCACCACTCACCAGCAGGTCGACGAAGGCGGCTTTGATGCCCTCCAGCTTGCTCCCGGGGAGGGTGAACGGCTCGAAATAGCAGCCGTCTCCCCACACCTACCGCGCAGCAACAACAACACGGTAAGCGGGGGAACAATCAAAACGCGATCCACGCTAGGACGGCGGGGGTGAGATGAATCGCATGCGAGGTGTGCATCGCTCGGCTCTGGATTGCGGCTTGATGGTCCGTACGCGGTGGAAATCGAAAGAGCAAACAGCTTTTGTGCTCTGCCCCCGGTTTCCTCGAGGTTCTGGCGGCGTTTTGTTAGTCCCCTCGGAAGGCGTGATTAGACACGGACGGCACCAAGCTTGCACCAAGCTTGAACCTAGAACCCGCTCTTTCCACGCCCCCTCCGCGACAGAAGATGATGGTAAATGCTGGTTCCTTCACCAAAACCAACGCCAGAGAGCACGAAATACACAAAAGGCTCTCACGCGCCGAACGTGATTGTGCCCACAGGAACGGTGCCGGGAACGGTGCCCCGTGTCAACCGACACGCTTTGGCCGACGGTCTGCAGCACACATGTACGCCCTCACCCCTACAAAAAAAAAGGAGCACCTTCTTTGCGGCCGCTTGCGTGTTGGCTTCGTCTGTAGCGACGAAGTAGAAGGTGCTACTGCCGGTGTCTGCCCCGTCGCCGCTGCCGGCCACCGCGCAGTCATCGAAGTGCTGGAGGTTTCTCTCCAGCTTCTCACAGAAAGAAAGGACGCCACGCAACACCAGAAATCAGCAAAAACAACGAAGACGAAGGGGCCGCCAAAAGGTTATTAAACTCTGTAGTCGAGCCGGCAGGCGGAGACCGTTCATGACAGAGTCGACGCGGGGGGATGGATGAAGGGGGGCACGTAGCAGAGAGGGGCGGCCGGCGCTTCGAGCTTCCAACAGGTGATCGAAACCCAGGACAAGAAAGTACAGCAGGGTCGTGTTAGGCTTACGCAGCACTAGATATGGATCTACGGAGATCAAAAGGGGGTTTCGTTTATCACATTGGAATGTGTTTGTAGAAGGGCGATCCGCCTTCTGCCTTGCATGGGCAAGCATGTCCTGTGCACTCGTTAATGTCGTCAATACCAAGGTCTTGAATTAACCTTTCCCCACAGCCTCTGACGCAAAGCACCCACTACCCAACAGGCCGCTTGCTTTTCTGTTCGCACGGGCTCCGGCCTCGTGAAAAGACTTGCTGTGTGGCCCCGTAGAACACGAGATTCTTCGCAAAATGCGGCTGACACCAGTGAACCACGCGTAGGGTGACGCGTACACCCACGAGCAAGAAAAGACAAAAACGCGAAACCTAGCCTCCGATTCTTCCTCTATGCGCATGAATGGGGCGTCACATGAACACGCGCTGCTGTCCCTGGTTGCTCACCAGCAGACTGTATTGTACGCACGTGGGAAATCAAACACATGGAGCGTAGGTCATATTCGGCAACTACAGCATGTATCTCACCGTTGCGGTGCTGATAGCCTTGACGAAGTACGTCCGCACGTGCAGCCCGACGATCCTTACCGGTCGCCCCCCCCCCCCTCCTCCCCCCCACTCGTTCGCCCTCTCACGAACCCTATCCGCGAGCCCCCTCGCGCGCTCCCTCAGCTCCCGGGTCGGCCTCAGGACGACCCTCGTGAGCAGCGTCTCGAGCGCCTCGACCCCCCTCTGCCCCACCACCGTACCCCCCGGATTTTTCTGCCCTTCCGCGCCCCCCCCCGCGGCCGCCGCCTGAAAGATGGGGTGCGACGCGTAGGCCGGGTTGCGGGCCAAGAGGGGCAGCGGGTAGACCACCGTCGAGAGCGTTACCACCGCCCCCGCCGGTGACCCCCCCTGGCCGGGGGACCCCCGCCCCTCCACCACGTCGTGGCACACCCAGTGCTCGAAGTGCTCCTTGGACATGTCGAAGAGAAGAGTCGCGTCGCTGCCGCTTGCTCCGCCCCTGATCTTGCCGCGGGGGGGCTTCTTCTTGTTGGGAGCAAGCGCTCCGCGGAGCCCGGGAGAGAGCTTCGACAAGTCCCACTTTTAGTGTTTTCGGGTGTAGTCGTGTGTGTTTTGTCGCGGCAACAGGAAAGAGGGAGAGGGGGGAGTACTCATGTTTTTCATGCCTGGCTACAGCTTGCGCGGAACATGACCTCGATTAATGAAGGTTACCCCCGGCGGCACGTTTGTGTGCATACGATAGACGCGAACCATCGCTCTCGGAAGACGATCCGTCATGCGAACGCTTCCCGCGGAAGTAGGAGGGGGTGGGTGGGAGTAGTGCGCGAAGATCCTCCGCAGCAGCGGCGGATAGAAATGGGTATCAAACCATTCTGCGGCGTCCGCCCAACAGCGTTTTTTGTGACGCGCTGAACACGGACCCGGAAACGGTTAAGACCGCGCAACTATTTAGTACAAATTTTAAGTCAATCTTTCCCTGCAACCCTTGCAGTTCGCGCGGTATGGGACACTTGACCACAGAAGGGCAGACTAGCCGTAAAAAATGAGGGCAAAGCTCGGTATCAGACTCCACAACCGCAAAGTACAAACTAAACCAAGCAAGTACCAGTCATTTCTACACCATGTGCAACCGAAATCGGGACTACGTAGCCCAGCAGGAAAAAGCGGTGCCACGGCGAGCAGTAAACGTGGGTTATGACTGGTAAAAACGACCGGACAGCAAAATAAAAAAGTTTTCGGTGTCAATGCGTCGAAGCCGTCGCTTTCCGCACCTCGTATCCCGGCCCCTCAAACAGAGCACTCAGCAGCCCTTGTGTGCCGTCCTTCTGGTACGTGATGTCGGCCACGAACACCCTATCCGTCAACACGCCCAGAAAGAAGCCGCTCATCACCCCGCGCAGACGATTGACGAGCTCGTTCCCCGAATCCAGCACGATATACTTTCCCTGTCGAGGAGAGCGAGGGAAGGGGTGAGCCGTGAAATTTCACCGTCGGTCGATCGGGGTTGCGATGATTTTCGTGGCTGGACTCACAGCAATCCGACCAGTGATTATGCGCCCCTTCGTAGGAGACATCGCAAACATCTGGTGCTGTTGATAACTACGGTGGTGGTGGTGGTGATGGTGGCTATGGTAATAGTCAACGAAAGCGGGGAAAGCGGGTAGTTGAGGAGCTCACTCGTCGGTTTACTTGAGGCGAATGGCCGCCGGGTCTCGCATCTCGTTTTTTGACAAGCGGAACCCTCGTCCCCTATTCCTGATAGAGTCATAAGTACAGCCAGCACGTTGTGGAGCGCCCTTTCGTCTTGAGGCGGCGGCGGCGGCGGGGCAGTATATTCTCCTGAAGCTTGACGTCGCAATGCCCCCCAATCCGAACCTCGTGCTCTCTCCGCTTACGGCAACCGCACGGAAACACTTCCTCGGCTGTGAAAAATCGTGGCCCGTGCCGCACACCAGGAGAACAACCAGAGGTCAACGACAAGCCAAACGCAAGCTGAACGGGGCCCCACCATCCAAGCAAGAGCTCTTCAAGCCTAAGGCAGGCCGCCATTTTGTGCTGCCGTCTACTTGCATACCTGCAGCGGGCGCCCTTGTTGTACGGCCACCTCGTCTGCCTCCAGAGTTCTCTTGGCGAAGTCGGCGTAGCTCTCCACCGCGCCGACGACCGCCTCCACGGCGCCCTCGCTCAAAAACGATGAGGGGGTCGCAGCACCCGCGGCTCGGCCCTCTCTTGCCTGTGGCCGATTTTCTGCTTGGCCACCACCCCCGCCTGGTGGTGGTTGTCGTGTCTCCTTTGGTCCCGACCGGCGTGGGGGGGGGCGGATCCCCGTAGCGTGGTCGGCACGGTGTTTTCGAACAGCAACGGACAAGGAGGGAAGAGGCAGGATATGCGGTCATCCCATGTAACACAGCAGGTTCGAGGCTCGGGTTTTATCGCCGATGTTTTGTTGTAATAGGTGCACTTGGTTTGACCTGGCAGCAGCCCGACGGAAGATCGGGTGTGCCAGTCGCGTCTTGTCCAACGGCTTGGAACGTGTTTGTCCGGTTGGTGCAGAGGTTGAACTTTTCTGGCTGACGTGTAGCGACACTGGATTCGACGGCGGAAGGATTTGATTGGATCACTCCAGCAGGAGCCGACGGAAAAAAGCACTGGTCGAACGTTACATGCAGCCTCCAGCCCCATTAAAACGAACACAGAAGCTGGCCCAACATCACAAACACCATGAGCATAATGCCGCTGCTACCAAGGCAGCACGCTAGGATGTGCTTTCACAATCCACCACTTGAGCACTACGGTAGTCTCCCTTCTCTCTCTCTCTCTTGACATAAACTGTCAGTTCTGCACAACACCACAGACACGCTACCCTTCCCATACCTGCCCAAGCCCACCGTGAAAGCTACCTTCCGGCCCCTTCCCCGCCCACGGGTGACTACCACCGCCGGGCTCGTCCCGCCCCTCTACAACGGCCGTCCACTGTGCGTTACCCACACTCTGGCTGTTGATGGCCGTAGCATCGACGGCAGCTTTCTTTTCCCCTGCATGGCGCGTCGAATCCCAGCCGCAGACGTACAAGATCGCTGCTGCCGACGCCATCCCGGCAAGGAGTGGCCGCACGATCGACTGACGACCGGGGTGGCGGGAAAGGTAGCCCCCACTACCTCGGCGGGCAGGGCGGGTACCCTGCGCGGGTGGGGTGGTGGGGGCATGCAGCAAGTTCGATCTCACGGTGGTGAAGAAGCTATTGCTTCGTCGATGCATTTCAGTCATGGTGGTCGTTGTTGTGGTGGTGGTCGTTGTTTTGGTGGTGGTGGATGTTTTGGTGGTGATGATTGTTGAGGGTGGTGATTGTTGTTCTCATGCTGAAGTCAAGACACCCTTTGTCTGGCAAGGATCTCGGCACCCTCCGATTTCTTTGGAAGGACTGTAGCCCCTCGGCCAATATGACTGACAAACTATTGCGATTTATATTTGCGGAGGGACTGCTGTGTACATACTACGGCTGTAGGAGGGTTAACACGAATACTCTTTATGTCAACGAATGCGAGATCTTTCGTCAGACATGGTGAGAGACAGCAGTATTAGTGGTGTAGTAGCGTGCCAAGTATTGGCTTTAGAGAAACAAGGCACGGCTGCGTACCGGCCTGCCAGCGGGTGGAATTGGGGGAATGGGAGCCATATCCTGACACAGCTGTACCCACCACACCCGCCATTCTCTTAGCGCACGGTTGCTCAGGCGCCAACAGCAAGCGTAGACAAATGTATGTACCTCTTGTATATATATAGAAAAACTACACAAGTACAGGGACTACAGCAGGGGCGCTCTGCATGCTCCGTTGTACATGGACGTCTGGATGTGTGCACTAGCTACTGCTGACGCTTTAGGTTTGATAAAACTGCCTCTCCTCATTCATTCTACTCCCTCACCGTGCGTCCCTTGGTTTGCCCATCCCTCGCGGAAAGCGGTCTGGAACGAAAGCTCATCGGATAAGGGCATACGAGACTCGGCGGTGATTGCACCGCTGACCTTGCCTTTCCCGAGTTCCTGAGTGTGTGTTTGGACGAGATGTGCGGGGTCCCGCCGAAGTTACCGAAGCATCCTGAACCTCTGGGCGAACCATTTGCGAACCAGGTTCTTCTGCTGTGTACAGCAGTGGATGCTTTTTCGGATTGGCACGTCGCGTCGTGTTGCTCCCTTGTCCACAGACGTATTCCATCACTGCTACGTCTTGTGACCTGCGAGATCCTGCAGCGGCATTATCATGATACAATCGATGCTGCATTTGAAGAGTTTCTCCAGTTCATGCGCATTGTTTTCAATACGATGTGCATATGCATTCATTGTACTTTTTGGATAATTGTATCTATTCATATCACCCTTTCATTTGGAGAGTAGATAGGATGCTCATCTTACGGCTTTCATAACGCACGCAGTGTTTCATTGTGCACACAACAGCCAGTAGTGTGTGAGTTATCGTCCCATCTAATTTGGGTGTCAGTCTACACCTACCTTTCGGTGTACTAGACGGGGTCGCACAAGGAGACTTCCTTTCAAATGAAAGCGACACGCCGTGACGATCCATCCATCACCATTCCATTTTTTAGGAGCAGACCTTATCGTTCGCGCATCGTTCGCGCTCAGAAGGGGGAAGGAAGAAGAAGGGGTACGCTTGGATATAATCTTGATCGCGCACAGCCGGCGAGTCTGCGTCCGATATTGCCGAAAACCGCATGCATGCAACAAAAAGCGATGAGAAGGTGTCCTTAGATTAGTCTTCGCCGATTTGTGTTTAGAATATGGCCGTTGTGGCCACCACTTGTCCCTAAAATAGGAAAAGCTGCCAAGAAAGACTTCGTTACGACACCACCACATTACATGTGATGAAGCCAGCGGGGGATACAGCCACGCAATGCAGCAGAACAAGCGAAAATGCCACGCATGCCCCGAAAATAGTAGGTCTGGCACGCATGTGCGAGGGCCACCAATTCATGAACACAGCGGGAAAGAAGCGATATGGTGCGGCGCTCAAAAGAGTGGGCCAACAACAGCCCCCGACACCGGATCGCTCATTCTCGTGCGACAAATCTGTGTTCCGTCATCTCACGAGGAGACACCTGCTGCGGCTTTGATCTGTAATTAAAAAAATAGGGTTGAGGGAGAGAGAGGCAACGCGGCAGCCCCCGCGGCGTCCCTCCGCACTCCCGCCACGCACAATGGCGGCAGGAAACAGCGGGCCATCGCTATATAGTACGTACGTAACTCACGATTAAAATAAGTACCGGGGTCTTCACGACGACCCGAGGGGGCTACACCCACGCTACACACACCACAAGACATGGCACAAAAACAACTAAACTTATCAACGCCACACAACAAAACAGCCCCCCCCCCGTCATATAATACTTGTACCAACAACAAATTGTGGCTGCTCATGTCCTCTGCAGTGACTCCTAGGGAACACCATGGCAAGGTTGACGTCACTCCCAAGGACAACGTCGACCGCAACGCCGGGCGCGGAAACATCCAAAAATGCTTCGCGCCTGATGAAGCAGAAGCTATGATACACTCAACTTGCGATGCACCAAGACCCCTCTTCCACCACCCCTGTGCAAGTTGGAGCGCTATATGCCGACAAACCTTCTACTGTCACACACGGCTACATACAACTTTTGGAGTCTTCGCTAAGGGAAAAAGGAGTCAAGAGGGTCGTTTGGTAAACCCTAGAAACCACCTGCTGCTGCTCTGTCTTTTTATCGCTGGACACACGCCAAGTAAAAGCTGACCCCCGTGCGGCCGCGGACATGTGGCAAGCATCCAAGAACATCGCACAAAGAGACGAAAAGAAGAACAAAAAACACAAATAGGAAAAAAAAAAAAAGAGGTAGTGCCGTTCGTCACTCTACCGGCATGCATATGTGACCACGAAAATATGGTTTTCCTGTCCGTGGGGCCACCTCTTTCCACAGAGGAAAAAACAGAGTTTAGCTCGCTCGCGCGGGATCGCACCGCGCCGGATAGCAGCGAGCATCCGTCGGGCGGGCGGGCGGGCCGATCCATGAGGGGGGGTCCGTTTGCTCTTATCGTATCCCCTCCCGGCCCAGAGAGAGAGAGAAAGCGATCGGATCGCACGGGTGAAGAACAAGATTTATTTTCTCAACAAAAAGAAAAAAAATCACGCGATGCGAAGGTGCTGCATGATCTTGTCCAGCTTCGCCTCGATCGCGGCCAGCCGGTCGCTCTCGCTAACCCCCCCTCGCGCGCTGCTGCTGCTGCTGGCACCGACACCGTTTCCGCCGTAACCGACACCGTTTCCGCCGTAACCGGCGCCGTTGCTGCCGTAGCCGCCCCCGGCACCCGCAGCGGGAGCGGGAGCGCTCGACGCTGCGGACGGCCCGCCCCACGAGCTCGCACCGTTCGTTGCCTTCGAGGGGATCGGCGGGGGTGCCTGAAAAAGGGGGCAACATCGCAGGAGAGGAGGCACAAAAAGAGGGGGCAACATAGTCAGATACTTACGATCACTGTCTTGTAGAGAACGTTACCCACAGGGGAGATATCTCTGAATGCTGTTCGGGGAACCGTAGAAAAACACTATAAACATTTACGCACTATAAACTCATTGTTCATCTATCACGGACACTTTTATCTGTGGAAGAGACTAAATCATATGTTGTGTTTTCTCGAAAAAAAACAAGCAAGAGGGGTGGCCAAAGGTGAGCGATCGATCTCGACACACACATATGACTACCTTCGTGCCCAACAAACACCCTCGTTAACGCGACAACAGCAACAACATCATTTCTTACGCACACCTTGTCCCCGATTCCACCCCTCTCCTTCCTCTTTCCCTCCCGCCGGCATCCGGCTCGCCTCTAAACAACAAGCCACCTACAACAGTACTAGCAAAAACCACCAACACACCTTCGCAGGTATCCCCGGCGCACCAGCTCCCCCCCGCCCGCCAGGCATCGGCATCCCGCCCATCCCCCGCCCGGGCATAGGCGCGGGCATGGACGGGGGCGGCGACCTACCCCCCGGCCCTCCGGCAGGAGCCGGCGCCGAGTACGGCACGGCAGGCGGCCCTCCCCTCCCCGGCCCCGAAGACTTCCTCCGGGCCATCGCGTTCGCGAGCTCCCCCATCATGCCGCCCCCCCCGCCGCCGCTGGTCGGGGCGGGAGCGGGGGCGGAGTAGGAGGACGCCGGGCCGCCCCCGCCGTCGCCCCCGCCGCTGACGGTGCCGGCTCCCCGGGCGATGCTCTTGTCGACCGTCTCAGCCTTCTTGAGAGACGCTCCTCCCTGATTTGTTTGGTAACACGAGGAAGGAGGCGCTCAGCTGTTGTTTTTCGTGCGGCGGACAAAAGAAGCGGAGCGTACTTCTCCTTGACTTGGTTGTCCAACACCCTTGACTTCCCCCTTCCAACGACAGCAGTGAGCGGCAACCAGAAGGCTTGGAGCTACTCACGCATAGGTGTGCTGCTCGCCTAACAGCTGGCACTGCTCGTACCACTTCTTCTCTACAAAACGTGTGATGTTGGTACCGGTGGTGCCAGCCGGCATCACCAAGCCGCAAGTACCCTGCTGGCGGCAATTTCCAGGCTTGGCAAACGAGACAGCTACTTGCCCAGCATCCTGGTTCTTGCTCCTGTGGATCGTGCTCGAAACCGGATCATGGCCATGGCAAAACCCGTCTGCACACCAAAACCTATCGGCACACAAGTGTAGCTACACACGGCTGACTCACCCGAATCGACGCCAAGAGGTCTGGCGGCGGAGAAGCTGTCGCACCACCACCGCCGGCGGGCTTGCCGGCGCTCTTTTTGGCGCCTCCGAAAAAGCCTCCCCCTGAAGAAAGCGAAACGCCGTTCCATGCCACACAAACAAAAATTAAGCATCAGGGGAGAGAACGCGGCGTAATGTAGTGATGCATTGCGAATGCATCCAATAAAAAAAAAGGGACCACCACCGCCATAATCGACCTCACGAAAACACACACGACACTGACAGCGAATCACCCAAGCTCACAGCAGCAGCAAAAAAAGGTGACATTCGGCGTCGTCACACCAAAGGCAACCAAGCCCCCCGCCGCCCCCGTCGAGCTACCGTACTGTGTGCAAAACTGCGCGAGCTGGATGCCGCCCAAGGTGCCTATAAGTTCTGCGGAACATCTCCTGTCGCAACGGTCATGCCTTTACCCATCCCTTCGCGCCTACCTGAAGGCTTCGATGGCAGCGGCGGAGCCGCCTTCGGGATCGCTGGTGCCGCCGTTGGTCGATCCCAGGTCGTCTGGTTCGTAGTGGCGTTGTGGAAATATTCCTGTGGCGACGAAATATGGGTCCCCACCAGAGGGTAGCGCGCGCGCGCGCGCGCGCGTGGGCGTGGGCGGGGGGGGGCGGGGGGGGGGGTTGTTCGATGCATCGACCTTTTGTTCGACAAAAAAGTGTATACTCTCACTTACACTAAAATGAAACGAGGAAAATCTTCATGTGCATGCGCATATTCACTCGCGGTGTATGTGTGCGATAAGCTGTGCTGGTGTTAGGCAAGGTTGCTTGACGGCATAACAACTTGTGAACGACAACCTGTGCTCGTGTTATGCAATGTTGCTTGATGGCACAAGAACATCGTTTGCGAGGAAATACTGCTGTAGGCCGCGGAAAATTGCGGCACCCTTTCTTAGTGCGTTTCACACGCACAGCAATCCCCATCGTGTTGGAAACATACGCACTCGATTGATTTGGTGGGCAGATGCCGCAGCAAATCTCAGCAATTCTCCACGGTCATGGGTCATGGGTATGTGTGTAGTGGTATGCGCTACGATGAAAGTAATTCTGTAGGTTTGGTGGGCGTCAGTGTCCCGGAGCACAACAACATGCATCACGCATCTCGCGTGCGATGTACACGAGCGCGATGTACATGTGCATTGTATCTTCACCATCGCTTTGCGTACCACTGCTGTGGCGACATCCGGCACGACTTTTCTCAGAGAGAGAGAGGGGGGGGGGGTATGAATGAGAAAGGTTAAGGCGAGACCCCAAACGTTGCGGCAGCCTACGGGACGATGGCCCTTCCCATGTACGCATACAGCAGCATGTGTGGTACTCCATATTTTACTCCGCCTGTACGTAATACTGCTATAGAACCCGGTCTACATGCCACAGATCAAATGTAAGCTACCCTTTGAAATTAATTCTCCGGCTGGGACTGACCCGATTCCTACAACGCCAATGAGAGGCCGCGGCGGCCCTGCTTGCCTCCCACCTACTCTGTCCCCCTCTGTGGGGCCAAGCAAAACAGGATGTTTCGCGAAGCCAGAGGGTGGAAAATAAAAATCGCAGAATCGTCCGCCTTTTCTACATACAAAAGTCAGAAAATAGTTCTTCTGTACCTCGAATCCTCCTTGCCTCTCTCCAATGGTTCGCGGGTTCCTCACAACTCGCGTGGGCGGCAATAGTTTTGCCAGCCACACAACAACGCCGTCCCCTGTCCGAATATGTGCCATTCTGTATGTATGCAGCCCGTGGGGCAAAGCCGGTGAACGGAAAAGCGGACTTGCGTTTTTTCTTTCCTTGGCGGAAAAAATAAAATACATCGGGTGAATTGCGATCAATCACCCATCTGGGTTCCTGCTGCAGCACCCGCCGTGCCCCGTGACACCTCACAACGGACGCCCCCGATCTCGGGCATGCCCCCCGCGGTAAAGAATATGACACTTCGATTCCTAGGTGGTCGTATCGACTACAGACACAGCAGTCGATTTTTCTCCGCTCTAAAGTCTGTGCACTGCTGAACACAGCAAGGAAAACAGCACCAACACACCGAATGCTTTCACGGTTTCGTACTGACCTTCCCGTCCGCAGCCTTGTAGGCTGTCCATCCTGGAGCGAGCGACATGTCTCCTTGTCTCCCCAGTCGGTTTGTTGTGTTGATGTTGGCGGAGGATGCGATACAATGACAGGCGAGCGAGAGCGCCACGCTGTGCCCTGCCGAACAGCGGGACACGAAGGGGGCACCAAACAGGAGAAAGAGACACATACCTCGATCTTTTTCATCTCTGTTGCGATGCCTCTAAAGCTCGTCCAAAACCAGCAGCCCCCGGCGGCAACACATCACCAGTCACTACTCCCAAGCAAGCCTGGCGGGCAAGGATATCTGAAGAGGTTGCGAGTGTTTTATTGAGGTACTTGCTGCCTTTACGGAGCGGAGAGCAAGACTCGTAGGGGGAAGCAACGACAACAAATAGGCAGGCCTTCACTTGCCCCTCCGATAATAATTGTAGCACACCCGGCAATTAGGCAAGGACAAACCGACCGCTGCTGCGGCGAAGAGTATGTCGGACGTGAAGGTTGAGGAGAAGGTGCCTGTGGCGGAGGTGCTCGAAGAAGATGACGAGTTCGAGGTGAGATGGGCTTGTGAATGAGCGACGGTTTTAGAGCCTTCTCAATGACAGCATCATTTTTGTTGTTGCCGTGTGGTTCACAGATCCGTCTGTCGAAGTCGGGCCGTCGATCGCTGTCATCATGTCAATCTCTGGCACTCGCGGTACACCCCGTACCAACGATATGCGGTACGACATTGCGGTTCCTTCACTAGTAAGAGAGTTCTGCCGTATGTGTGCAAAAAAATACTTATTTAAAATTGCACTTTGAAGTTGTACCGAGAGCATAGACGTAGTCTACTGGTGTAACCCGGCTTTCATTTTACAAAACACGACACAACGGAGGGATTCTCTCGAGATATTTTGTCGTTGACCCAGTAGAGAACTACAGGGGATGTATTGTAAAATGTAAGTTACCTACAAATGTTTTTGTACTTAGCACCAGCTGACATCACTGGTATAAATCATCAGTGTATAGACTTAAAAAGACTCGAAATAAGTCCAGTACTCAGCCGGTTTCCCTCCACTCACTGAAAAGACTCCCACCACATCCCGTTCGACTGTGGGTATATCTCGAATGGGTAGTCTTTCTGTGTGTGTTTTTATTATTCCTTAACCCGGCTCCAGTCTTTCGTCTGTGTATGCATTGTCGTTACAGCAGCAGTGCCGGCTTGCGTAGGCATACGATAGATGACTTCCTACTGTAATTAGTTACCGGCGCTATGTTGGACTCTTTCTTATTTGGTCGGGGGTGTTTTGTTTTGTTTGGGGTGTTTTATTTTTCAGTTTTGGGGAATACTCTATGTAAAGCAGTACAATGCATCTGGTAGCATACACGGCAGCGGTGAATGTGCAAAATATGACCCCAAAAACCGTTCTGTCGGGCCGTTTGCCAACACGGAAGCGATTGTTAAGGGTTATGGGGCTAACCCGTTTTTCAGACAGTAGCCAGCACTGCCATCGCACACACGTAACCAAGGGCGTAGCGGAGAGGAGGTGGCGCGGCGGGCGAAAAAGAGAGCCATGTTGCAGAATACGAGTACTATGCATACCTTGTTCTGCGGTCCACAGGCCGCCGAAACATACATTGGATTCGACCGGCAGTACCAGAACTAACAGGCTTCTTACCCACTCCGCACAACATTCCTGGCCCAAAAGAAAAGGTGGTTCAACCAAACGCGTTGGGGATACGGCGTCGCGGCCTTATCCCCAACACGTTTAGTTGAACCATCCTGTCTTTCACGCCAGCAGTACTGTGCCGAATAGGGAAGGAAGCCCGGAAGCCCGGCGGTTCTTGTACGTACTCCACGTTCGAAATCCAATGCATGTTTCGGCGGCCTGGCCCGCGGGGAAAAGGTAATCTAGTGTGGCGGTTGACACGGTTCTCTCCGCGTGCCGCGCAACCTCCTCTCCGCTACCCCCCTTGGTTGTGTGCGACAACAGCAGCAAGGAGGTCGAGCAAGGCCAGTTCCGGCTCTCGCTGTCGTGTGCTCACGTCCATCCACAATTGTCAGTGGATTTGGAACTTGTTGTTCTTGAAGGCGAAAAGGAAATGCGAAAACCATAGACTTGTAAAGAACAGGTACACCAAGAGTAGGTGTTTGGAAGGATAAGGCTTCTACGGGAAGGCGGTCCCGTTTCACGGTTAAGGTCAGTTCAGATGACGTCATGACCTGGGCTGGACGAAATCTTGTGGGCCAGGCAGGACATGTCATGGCGAGATCTGGATGATATCGCACGGCACCAGCTCAGGTCAATGATCTATCCTGTAGCATCGTGCAGTTTGCGGATGCCTGACCCGTGGAGAAACCCTGGCAAGCACCGCGCGAGCCACGGTTTACACGTGGGATGACGAGACGAAAACTGTATTGAATACTTTCTAAAAATGTGAAAGCTTCACCTCTGTCCCAGAGTCTACTGTATAGCAGCTTGTGCGTTCACCGTGCTAAAGGTTCGTGTTCCACTCCAGATTTTTCCCATTTTCTCGAGCAGAGAGCAACCGCGAGCGAGCCGCTTTCCGAAAAGAACACACAAAGAACACAGCAAACCAGAGACGTGCATGGCAGCACAGCTCTCGCGCGATGTACAGTACCCCAACTGTCGCCTAAATAGATTGGAGACTACAGGAGTAGTACAGGTAGTCAGAAAGGGTCATCTCTCGCGGCAGCTCGAGATCGAAAACAGCCTTGCGCTAACGCACGTCGTCCACGGCATAGCACGTCGAAACGGCAACGATCCTCGTCATCGATGGATATTTCCCACCCTCTTTGTTGTCTCCCTACCCCCAATAACTTCGTTTTGTCTTCGCGCCACACGTATGTTTCTGTGTGTTCGGCTTCCACGACGCTCAGGAGTTCGCTGAGGCGAACTGGGACGAGACTGCAGAGGACCAGGAGGACCTCCAGCAGTGGCAGGTAACGCACGGTATCGGTAACCACCTAAATACTGCCGTCCTTTTCGAGAGAGAAAAGAGGTACAGCAGTTAAGGATAAGATCGCCTACTAGCCGGGACGCGGAGGGGCGCGTGTCGTTGTCCTTCCTCCCAGTTGTGAAGAAGGAGAGTTTGGTGACGCCGGCGGGCGCACGGAACGCAGAACGCCTTCGTGCGACAAAAAAAAAAAATTGGGTTGGAGGATTCTCCGTTGCGCAAGACCACTTTCCGGGGGCGGAATGCTTTTCTGCGTGTTGTTCCAAGAATTGGCGGCAGTTTGCTCGGTGGTGGTAACAGAAATGTCCCCTGGCCTAAGCGATATCATAGACTTGTAACCACGTCAAATTTTTGCTGCCTGTAGGTCAGCGAAAGAGATCCCTTGGCCACCTCTGGCAAGAGTGAAGCCCATCGAGCTGTCGTGCAGAGAGGCGGCGTTGGTCTGAATTCATCACCCCGGCTTCTTTCCCAAGCGAGATTGAGGATGGCCGCTCCCTGAAAACAACGTGAAAGCGCCACGTATCACTTCGTGCTCCCTTTCACCGCCATAATTCCATCCCTCCTCCTCACCGTTTTGTGTATGTACTGCTGCAATATCTGTTTTTTTTTGCACGAAGGACGACTGGGACGACGATGACATGGACGATGACTTCTGCAACCAGCTGAGAGCGGAGCTGGAGAAGACGAAGCCGCCGGCAACAGGACAAGCAAAACCACAGCAGTCGTGAAACTGAAGTGAAAAGAGCCCTAGAGAGCTGCTGCTGCATGCCTCTTGTCCGGCCGAGCCGAGCCGATGTTCCATTTTCTTTTCTGTCGTTGTGTGCATACGGTTTTGACAAGATATTGAGTTTTTTTGTTTTATCGTAGTTGTTTTTTAACTGATTTTCCTTTCATCGTGCCACGGTCTTAGGGTCCGGCGGTAGACATGAGCGCACGGACCAATTTGACCGGAACCGGCGTGACGACCAACAGAAGATACCTCAGTCGAAGATAATTGAGCCTCTTCCTGGGGCCGCTAGAATATTGCGGTGTGCACCGCGGCGCGCGACTGCAGTCGACGCCCGTCACGAGAGGGGGTGATCGGCATGCTTCTCCGCACGGCATGTATCGGGGTTTGGGTGGGGTATTCACAACCGACGTCGTACATCCTGATGCTGCAGCTCGAGCCTTCCGCGAATATGAGGTGTCTATTACATGCCCCCACACCCCAGTATCCATCCGTCCACATGGATGGGCGCCACCCTTGCGGAGTCATGGTGAATCGAATCGCGCGTGTCGCGCCATGCACATATATCGATATATCTGTTCTTCGTTGTTCCGAGTGCATCCGTTTTATTCCACCGTTCGCCCGAAGCACGTTTTAGTGCGCCTCGAGGAGAGTCCCTGCGGTGCTGTAGCATCTACGTCAAGGCTTCTCATGCGGCTGCCTCGCTGCTCCTGCAAGAGTCTGATAGACGCGTGTTCGCCGCATCCAAGGGCAAAGTGTTGAAGGATGCGCGGAATAGCCCGCAGCCTGCTTCAGAGGGTCACGCGGAACAGGAGCAGCTATTAGCTGTGTCGGAGCTTGGATCATACATGGCTGGCCAACATTAGCAGTTTTTCTCCCGCTCTCACATTAGTGAGGGAGCCCCTGCTGTGCTGCAAGCAGCACCTACGACTCTCACGTTGGTGCGTGCTCGAGCTCCGATTTGCCGATGCCCTGTCGGGGCAAGTCGTGGTGTTGTGTCGGAGGTTTGGCTTTGCCTGTGCCAAAACAAGGATGGAAGCTTGGAAAATTGTACGCTCATTCAGCAGTAGCCGCGTGTGTAGAACGGGGCATATTCCAACCAGCTACCGACGTCTTCCTTTTTCGACACAGTGGCATGATGCATTTTCGCGAAATCGCGTGGCCCCCCTTGCGACACCGCGGAGACTTTGGTGATGACCATCTCTCCAAGGATGAACAAGTTGCGCGAAATTCACTTTCGAAGGAATAACATTACCGTGCCAAGTGTTCGTGTCCTCCCTCTGAGGATATGTTTTGAGCATCTCCAACACTCAAGCACTTCATTGTACCTGTCCAGCCCGTGCCAGACCACGTTCCTCTCGTGGAACCTTCAACCAACGACCAGATGAACACCGCCTCATCGCAAGAAAAATGCGGCCATATCTCTCTCCTTCTTCAGTATGTACACAGCGAAAGGAAGCGCGAAGCTAGCCTCCAAACACACGACACGCGTAGCCCTACGTGCCTGCGAACGCAACCTTTCAGATCGAGTCGAGGAAGCCGGGCGAGCTCCCGCTCCCGCCTATCGAAGATGACGCCGGCTCCCCCGAGGAAGAGGGCTCGGCGAGGTCCAAGCCCTCCAGCTGACGATCCAAGCCCTCTATCAATCGGCTCAACCCGAGGTGACCCCCGAGCAACTGTATCCCTTCGGCGATGCTCTCCTTGAGAGACACCAGTCGATGTCTCGTGTACACGAAAGAACCCTGGGAGGGAGGGAGGGAGGGCGGGGGTGTGTGCTATGTCGTCGTCAGTTGATCGTTGACTAACCATCGTTGGAGAGATGGGAACCCAGCGCACTATTGTACTGCTGCTAAAGACACTGCTACACACTCGGCGCTATATGCGGAGGTTTTTGCCACATTGTTCGTAAGACAGCAGTCTCCTTCAAGCTATGTATCCTATTCAACTCTTTTATACGTGCTTTGACGCGACGAACAGAGGCGCTACTGAGTTGACCGGGGGGAAGCAGGGCGGAGGGGGGGGGAGCGGGCCAACCGTACGCAACTCCAAGAGATGGATACCTCATTTGACGCCTTCCAAAGGAAATTGATACTCGAACAAGTTTTGCAAACCAACATGTCATCCGGACCAGAAAATACAAACATATACGGGCGCAGGCCCGGCCAATGTAAAGCGACTCCGAATCCGCTGAGTGGTAAATGAAGATAGTATGCGATCGGCCGAGGAAATAACTATTTCTCGTAACGATCGCCGCTAGTCAGCCAAAAACCTCTACCCCCCACCTCTGCGGCACCCAAAACACCGGCCACGTTGCCGCCCAGGCTTTCGTTGCCGCTAAGGCTTTCGCGCACTCTAGAAAAATGGGGCACACCCTGGGTTTTCGTTTCTACCGCGTTTCGGTCAAGCTTCACTTCATATCTCCTTGTTGTTGAGGTTCTCACCGCTTGCTTCATCCACACGACGGCGTGCTTCTTCACGTCCACGTCCTCCGTCCTCTGCTTGAGGATGTTCAGCAGCCGATGATCGTTCGGCTTGGCCCTCACGCAGTGGATGATCGGAAACGAAAACTTCCCCTCCTTTGTTGGTTGGTTGGAGCAGCGGCGAAGAGCACATCGCACGGCACGGTGTACCAGGCAGAGGGAGGGGACGGGGGGCCATGAAAACGTTTCAAGGAGAGAAAAAACCACCAACACTTCCGAACGGAAATCTTGTAAAACCAAAGGAGCCGATGTACACAGCAGCAAAAAATTCAGAACACTTCAGATGCAGCAACAGAGACATTCGTCCATGCTGCCTGCTGCTGCTGCGGTGCCCACCTATGCCTCATTCTACGCCATTTCCGAGTTAAACGAGGATAGCTTAAGGGGAATCACTACGTTTACGGGCCATGTCCGTCCGCATCGTGTTGAGGGGAGAGTACCGAGTACCAACCAAAACAATCAGCCGAGGCATTCCCGCTAGAAACAACGCGGGGTATTCCCGCTGACGCAAGCGGGCACACCTTGGTACAGCAGTATATCAATCTCACCGTCAAGTCCTCGCAGAAGCTCTTGCCCTTCATGTACTCGGGGCTGGAGAGGTTGATGAGGTCGTCCCTAATCTGGAAGTACAGGGCCAGCTGATCGAGCAGCGGGGTGTAGTTTCGCTGGTCTTGGCTGAAGGCCTGCATTAGACCCACCGCAAGTCGGAACAGCCCTCCGGTCTCTGGTTGTGTGCGTGCATTGGTCGGGGGCGCGGTCGATGAAGCACGGTGAGGGAGGCGGGCGCGCAGGCAGGCGATAGTACTAGAACCGGCGGTACCGAAAGTGAGGATGGGCACAGCCTGGGTATTGCCATAAAATCGACGGCATCTTCAAAGAGGGAGATACGATCGAGCTTGTAAGCTCGGACGGTTGACAGGTGAGCTCAAAAAGCGTCGACCGAAGGACGGACGGCGAGTTGTTGCACCCTCCGCTGGCGGTGTGTGGATTGGATACCTGATCCATCCGGCGTTTCTGCACAAGACGTTCTGATGGGTGCAACGAGGCTAAACTCTCTGCTCGCGCATCACGCTTGGAACACGAGCACGGCAGAAAGTTAGCCGCGGAACAACCGAACAAGCCAAAAAGACCGGCCACAAAACACAGCTACGTACAAGTCGCCGCGGAGAGTCGCCGGTCCTGCAGCGTGGGTTCCATAACCTCGAACCAATTCCACCCCTGTGGGACCAAGGCACCGCAGCACAACCCTCAGGATGGCGTGCATGAGCAACCCACGACTCTCATGATCAACTAAGAGCATCGTGGAGGGGGGAGGGGGGAGGGGGAAGCGGTGCTCAAAATGGCGCCGACGAACGGAACGCGAGAGAGGAGTACCGACGTGCCGCCGCCGGCGATGGCGCACTCACTGTCAAGCACCATGGACTCGTACTCCTCCTCCGTCGGACATCGGTTCGAGTCTCGCCAAAGGATGTCCCTCCCCTGCCCTCGGTGAAGGTTGAGCTGCTCGTGGACGAAGGTCTCCAGAGCCCGCGAGTTCCCCAAGGCGTGCGTTCGCTCCAAAGCCTGCGTCAAAGTACGAAACGACAGGAGGCACGTCGATACGCATTCTTCGTGCTCGTCAAGTACAAAACCAACAGGAGACCTACATACGGAATTCGTGTTCGGGAAACTTGACCGTACGACATGCCTGTCGAAGAACACAGTACAGTTTATTTTGGAATGTCGTGCGTGCCAGCAGCTCTTTATGGCTGCCCGCACCTGGGTCAGCGCAAACGACAAGGATTTCGGGCAATTCACGCACGCTTTACTTTGGTTCAAATAGCGATAGAATATCCTCCCGCTACAACCGGTGCAAGGAATTTAAACAATAAGGGCGGCTTCCGGCAAACGCCGCGCTGGTCAGCAGTACGCGGCAACATGACAAATATAACAATCTGATCGTTGCCAGAACGGACGGCTAAGAGGAGGGTGTTCGTGAGTCGGAAGAAGCAACGAAAGTATCTGCCTGTTATGCCTTCACTATACTCACACACCGAGAAAAAAGTAAAACGAAGAACGTTTCAAGATGGCATCCACAATCAAAGGAAAACCACAGGTATCGTATACACAGGACCGTCGTTCTCGTTCTTGTGGCTTGTCGCAGGAACGGCCTCAAGTCTGGTACACCTTGGTTAGTGCAGACTGCAGAGCACAGCATGATATTTCGGACAGCCGGCTCGCCTGAAAGTACACGTAGTTGGCAGTGTTGATCGTTGAGGCCACACCATAGATGGAATGCGCCACCGGTACTCCTCTTCGCAGCTTGGAGTTGTCTTCGATATCATCCACGCTGTGCGTGCGTTTTGCGAAGGGGGCGACAGCCGGTTGTGCTTTAGGGGTAGACAGAAAAAGTGGAGTGCGCGTAGAGCGTCGCGCATATCTTGAAGCGAAATCCCAAAGCAGCAGAGCAAGGGGGCAATGACCAAAAGTGGCCGCGAAAGGTCGCGAGGTTTGCCCACCAAAACGAAACGATCTGATTTTGTCGTATTTTTGTTTTATTCTTGCGACGAATAGGAAACGCGCTACAACGTTCATTGTCTAGCCATCTCGGTTCTTGCTTTGTTGTTGAACGGAAAACTGCCCCCGCGTAGTTCCAGTGACGAAAGCTGGCCGACTAGCTCTATTGTCGTACAGGTTAAGCTGCAAACGCTTGAGCACTTGGGTTTTGCAGTGCAGGCGCGCAACAAATGGGTTCATCACCACTATTGTCGTTTCTTCATGATGGTGATTGGATGTACGAATGAGCGCCGCGAAATTGACTACACGCGAGGTGACTACTTTTACCGCACATACGACGGCGGAAGAGGTTGACGCGCGCGGATCACAACGCTCCTCACTGCCCCTGTTGGCTGCGGACCGACAGTGTGCTCAGGCGAGCATAATGCGAACACAACGTCCATTCGCAAAAGACCCCCAACACTCGCTGCCGACTATACCGCAGCCAATGCGCGAGAGGAGCCTACGCCTTCGCAACCACCACGGTATGGTGGTGGTGGTGCTACATCTCGTTTGGGTTGTGTACTCACAGTAGGCTGGCATTGTGAAGCATCCCCACCACCTCCTTTATCGCGTCGATTCTTTCCGCCGGGATGTCGAGCCAAATCTGCGGGTACGAACGCGGAAATCGGGCCGTGTTTGTTCGTTCAATGGAACAGCAACAACATTGAGGACACGGCCAGAGCGTTGGCAGAGAGAGTCAGCAGCGCCGAGAAAGGCTTGTCACAACAACCACACCAGCGTGATACTCTCCTAGACTTTTTTGAAGCGCGGGACGCGGGGGAGGCGACAGGGGTGATTCTACAGCAAACAAAGCGAGAAATCCTCATGTTTCGCGCACTGCACGCTCTGCCGTTTGCCATGGCACTGCCCGTCTTTGCGACTGCTCCCCAGCTATGCGGTACTGGTAAGCAGATTCTGAGAGGGTTCCTTCGCCACCCGCTAGCGTTGTACCGCTACAACATGGGTTACTGCTTTCGCACTGATATTCTGCGTGTACGTCCTACTCGCACAAAAATGGTGCTGGGCTACATATGCTATGCTCAACGAAATCGACTACACCGGCAACACGCGAAGTGGTGAGGTACTACACACCGCAAGGTCGAATATGCTTCTGCACCCCCCTCCCGAAAATTCCCTAGAGCAAAATAAAATGAAATCATGAAATCGAGCCACTGTTGGCGCCCCTCGGGACTCATTTTTCACAGCACCCCCCCCTAACGAGACGTGGGGTGGCGCATAAACAACAAAGGGGAAAAATGGGTTCGATAAACTTCGAAACCCCGTGGTTCCCCTCTTCACTATCCCCACGCCTGCCCCGACATTGCCGCCGCCTGGGTGTTGAAAACGTGGTATTTTATTGGTTCCTCACCTGGAACGCGTCTATTAGCTTGCCCCTGACATCCTTCCCGGGGACTTGGTTGATGTAGTGGAACGGCTCCATGATATCCTGAACATGCATCGATGCGTAAGAAGAGTCAGAGAGAAAGGGACACGCAGGCAGGCGAACATGCAACGTCAGCGCCGCCGAGGTTCGTGAGAATACAACCTGATATCTGCTAGAGATAGGCTCCACTGCTGTGCTCAAACGATGTGGGTCCTGATATAACAGCAACGGGACGACGGTGTAGATGCGACGTACACCCCATACGGAGGCGAAGCCTTCGGCGTACCATCACAACAGCCGTAGGTTGCTGGGTCTGTGCGAACGGAAGTGGGAAAGGTTCAAAGTACACCTATTCTTCTTTGGCGTGGCCACACTAGCAGCACTTTTGCTGCCATCGATTTTAGCAATCTCACTAACCCCCCGTGCTATCGTTAAAAGATTGATGCTCATACATGCGCAATGCATAGACCGTGGAACTGTGGGTGGGCGCTACTGCTGCTGCTGTGGGACTGCCTCTCTCGCCGCATCCAACAACAGCCGTGAGAACAATCTAAAAAGTTTGCCCGCAGCCGCCGTTCTGAAATCTCACCTGGTCCACCTCATGGCCGCGAGTAGGAGATCCTGCAGTCGTGTTATCGGTAGGAGCATCCATGAATCTCTTTGTCGCAGGGGAGTGGCGTAGGTGCTACGCGTTGCGTGTGGTTCTGAAGAACCCGCGGACCTGCTCGTGGGTGTGCCCTCTTGCTTTGTTGGGCCGCATCCATTGGCCGGATTCCCGAAGGGTGGAACCTGAACCTCTTCTTACACACGCTCCGCGAACCTCGTTGGAAACCCTGGAATCCGGCCGCTCGCCCGAAAGCACTCCAACAAAGCGAAGCTGTCCCCGTCGCTGAAGCTCGTTTTCCACCGAACAAACACCCGCGGCCATGTTCTGATTCGGTGTGCACCGCTGTGTGCTCGCCGCGTGTGAAGACAGGGACCGAGAGCGACTTATTTAAGATTTCAGTCGGGAGTCGTTGAACACCTGCCAGAGGATATACACACCAGCCGCTCTTCCTCGCTGGCTCGAAGCAAGAGCGATTGCTGGCGAGGCCGGTAGGTGCTGTGGGGAAAGGAGGAGGGAGGAGTCAGGCGCTACGGCTACTAGGTTACTTGATTGAGCAAGACTCCAGACTTTACATCTCTCTGGCAAGGCATCTACCTAAACAGCATAGGGCTAAGCTCGCGAAACACGAGACTCATGTTTCGTAGAGCCATGTGCACACGACAACCCACCTGGCATGGGCGCGTCTCCATCTTGCGGTGGCCAGCTACATCTCCCGCCAAGCCTTCCAGCGCAGCAACAAGAGCAGCGACCGTACCAGCAGATGTGGCTGACGCCAGCGGCAGCGGTGACTGTTCTGGTGGACAATCACCGCCCGCCGCCGACCCCGCCGAGACGATCCGGTTGAGCAAGGCGAGTTGTGCCGCTCCTGCTGCTGCCGCTCCTGCTGCTGCTGCTGCTGCTGCTGCTGTTGAAGCCACCGATTCAACTCAGAGTGGTACTGGTAGTGATAGTTCTGCATCGACAACACGCGTTGTTGGGGTGTCAGAGGCTGACACGGGCGACGCGAGGTGCAAGCGGCGCTACTGGGCCGAAGATAATGCGGGGGAAGCGAGCTGCGTGGGGTTTGTCGCGGAACCCCGTCCGCCACTTCGCATCGAGGTGGGTCGAGCGGAAAGATCTGGAATATCACTCTCACCACATACACAACTAGACTCGTCTGCTGTTGCTGTTGTTGTTGCTTTCGGCTCTTCATATTGGGGGCGCTCAGTCTAACCTTGTCGGTCGTATTGCCATAGTTGCGAACACCGCAGTTTATGACATGGAATTTGAGGCCGTTCAGATAAGTCTTGGGTTGGATGGGCGCCGAGTGGCTGTGCAGCGGACTCCACGTGACCTGAGAACGCGGCAGTGGTTTTGTCCCGCCCACCCAGGACACGCTTGGCTTCCCCAGGTACACCAGAAAGCCGAATCAGTCCAAGTCAGACAGTCTACCCCGCTCCCCTGTTGGTCGGAGAATGAAAAAGTTGGATACCGTCCAGACGCACGCGCTACTGCAGTACCACCCCCGATTCCCACGCCTGCCTTTTGTGTGTCGGAACATCTTCAACGTAGGAACCACTGCTCAACGCTACCGCTGCACGGTCTGTTCCGCGTCCCCTCTGCCCCCCGTGAAGGCGAAGGTTGTCCGCAAAGCGGAGGCGATGCTGGGCCTCGTTCTTCCTAGCGGGTTTCCGGCCTCCGTGCACCCTCCGTACATGGCGTACGCAGGCTGGCAGTTTACGGGCATGGCGGCTTCCGCTGCTGCGGGGGTGATGTCAACGCAAGCCCTGGTTAGTAATTGTTGCGGTACTGGTGTTCGGCTCGAAGCATTCCCTCGAGATGGGCAGCAGCAGAGCACAGCATCTTCCTGACCGGCTACGGTAACCACCCGTCGTTTGATATGAGAGCAGTCGCTTGCAAACACGAACGACCACGAAATCACGACCATTGAACCGTGACACAAACACCGCGCCGTCTCCTCTACACTTGCCCGTCGCTGCTGGCAGCTCTACGCGATGGGGCTCGGTGCCGGCGCCCTTCCGCTAGCCGCAACGCTGAACTGGGTGATCAAGGATGGCCTTGGACAGCTGGGCGGGGTGGCGTTCTCGAGTCTAGTCAGTACACGTTTCGACGCGAATCCAAAGCTGTGGTAAGTGGATGCACCCCTTTCTTTTGCAGCGGCAACGGCCCCCATTAGGGAACGTTTTGCGATCCGGCTCGTTTTGGGGCCGGCATGGCCAACAAATTGTCAGAATTTTACCATGTGTTGTTGTTGTTGTTGTTGTTTCGCCTCTTGCTTCTAGGATAGATGCGGTACGCCCTTCCGGAGAAAGTGTTGGTGGGAAAAGGTATCCACTTCTGCTATACTTTGAACTGTGGTCGCTATCGCACGATGGCAACGGGCAGCACGAGTGGGGGGATGCGTTTGGACTCGAGCCCGTCTCTCCGCGTATGTAGCTCCTTCGGTGAGCGCCATGCCTCGCCTTGCGTTCTCGAACAACAGTCGACATACGTCAGAAATCCTAAGCAAACCTTTTGGGTGACAAGACTGTGCTGGTTGATCGCCCTCGCGTGGGTGGGAGTTCCCTCCTTTTCCCCTGAAGGCGCAACACCGGAAGTATTGCATGCGATTCCCCCGCCTTCCCACCCTTGCCCCGCCCATCCCCTTCGATTCCGTCCTGTTGCCCTCTGCCGTGCCGCCGCCGCGAGATTCTGACTGTGTGGTTGTGCTCGCCACCGTTACGGATGTTCCCAGGAGAGTCGTTGCTGCGGTTTCCCTCGACGCTTCCATGGTGTTGGAACTCCTGTCCCCGCTCGCTCCGGCGTACTTCTTGCCGATCGCATCGGTCGCCAACATCGGTACGTACCCGCTGCGCGCGCACGAAAAAAGAAGGAACAAAAGTGAACGCTGTATACCACAAGATGTGTGCGCGGGGAATGAATTGATCCTTGCCGTACGAACGTGGCACTCGCGCTTGTGTACCGATTTTCAGCAGGGATACACGCTCGTTCGTGGCGGCGAGGGAAAAGCTAAAGGCCGTTCGTTGCGCCCGTGCTTCGCCGCATAGGGCCTCGAAACGACTCCTCCCGCAGCCCCTCTGTTTTTTTCTCACGTGTCCGTTCCATGCCCCCCCCCGTGCCCGCCCTTGGTCTCTGCGTTCATTTTTCATCCGGGGGACGTTTGCCTTCTCGACAGGAAAAAACGTGTCGTTCCTAGCCGCGTCGGCTAGCCGTGCGGCCATCCACAACGTGCTCTCTTTGAAGGGAAACCTGGCGGACGTTACCGCCAAGTCGGGCGCGCAGACCATCCTCGCGTGCATGGCGGGCACCGGGGCGGGCGTCACGCTGTCGGCGTCTCTGGGCTCGGAGTTCCACGCCATCGTCCCGGCGTGTCTGTGCCTGTCCGTCGTGCACCTAGGGGCCAACCACATGTCCATGCGGCGGCTTGGCATACCGACCTTCGATCACCAGGTAACGTGTGTGACCGTGTGTCAAGCCCTGCATGTGAGAGTGTTTTTGTTTTCTTGCCTTCGCTCATTATAGAGACACTAATGTCATCTCGCTTTTTGATACTCGAGGCGGGGTACTTTTACAGAAATGGCCCTCACTTCACAATCGCCTATTTTGCTCAACCGTCGCGCTTTGTATAATGTGCGGAAAACATGTAGGTTAGTGTGAAAATCAATCCCTCAAGTTCTTGACGATCTGTTTCTAAGTGAGGGCCATTGCACTACCTTGCTAGGTAGAACCGGACCGCCTCCAAATATTGAGTGCTGTGCTTGATGGGGGCCTGCCCTGTTTCATGCGCTAAAGAGAAAGCCAGTGGTGTGCTGACGCTACATATCTTGTGCAAATCTTTGGTGAACACAGACCACTGATCTTTCCCAACAACACTTCCAGACCTCTTGGGCTGTTCGAGCGGGAAACATGTAGATCACGGGACGCGCGAACACCGTAGAGTGCTCGGCGTGTGTAGCGGCGTTTCTTTCTGGTTTTGCGTCTGTTTCTCGCTGCTCCGGACGTGATGACCCGGAACGTTTGGTCCTCTCTTACCCCAACGAGTGCAACACTGCTGTACACCGTTACGCTGCCATGCCACTTGCCTCCTTCTTGTTTGTGCCAGCGGCTAGAGCTGGTAGTCAACGGCATGGCCGACGGCGACAGGAGCCGCGGCATGCCCAGTCCTCAAGACATAGCGGGTGAGGTAGAAACACCAGCAGGGTGGTGGTGAGAATGGTCGGAGGGACTGCGCTAGGCGGACCCATGTTGTGCTGCTTCCGAGCCCCTTTTTGCGTTGCGATGGCGGGGGTGCTTGTCTCACCTGGTTGAGTGTTTGCTCTGTTGAAGTGCGCGCTGGATTGGGAAACTAGTTTCGTTGAGTGGTGTATGGAAGAAGATGCACCCGTCGTCAAACTCGGAGCGTGTCGTGTATATTCCTTTGATCGAGATTCTTTTGTCATCTCCCATGCTTATTCTTCCAAAAAGGTGTCGTGTAGTGTTGCTTTGCTCTTTCTCTGGTCCCACGTAATACTTGTGTTCGGTGTGCGCCCCGCGCAGAGTGTACAACAGCCCCCCCCACTCCCCCCCCCACGCGCGCGCTCATCCCGTCCTACTCCACCGTCCCCACGCCCTCTGACAGCCCAAGAAGATGTCGTGGCGTACGCCGTTCGCGAAAAGATCGGGTTGGACCTCTCCCCTACGGTGGTCGTGGGATCTCGATTGAAGGAGGCCGTCAAGGGTTGGGGAGAGCTGGAGGAGCTCTGCCGGGTTTGCGAGGGTCTCCCTTTCCTTCTGTCGGTCAGGGTGCGTGGAAAACTGTTTCTCTCTCTCGATGTTGGGGTCACCTCCATCTTGCGCGGAGAGAAAAAAATACGATGCTTTTTTTGTTGGGGGGGGGGGGGGTGATGGACCGACTTGTCCGGGCTGGGGTGCGAGGAAACGACGGCGGTGTTGTATTTCCTTTTGTCTACAATCTCGACCAGTATGTAAAAGCGGAGAACGAAAACAAAAATGAACCTCTATTACCGGTGTTTCCGAACCTCCAAAGTCGGCCCATTCAGAAAATCTGATGTGAGGCTCACGAGTACGACCGTTATTAGAGGTAAGGAGGGTTGTCCGGGAGCGCTTCTGCCAATCGTTTGACGCCGTGCGGTCGACGTCCTGCTCTCCTCGCCTCTGGCTTGGCTCTCACGCGGGGCTCGGCGGTGGTGTCACAATCAACAATCGCCATGCCGCAAAACACCGACCAATACACACGCGCGCAACAACCGGGTTGCAGGGCGACCTCGCTCACCGGACGGGAGAGGTACACGTCTTGCTCTTGGAAGGCTGCGGGGCTCGGGAAGTCCTTGCCGGGAGCTACGTGGCGCTGGTCGCGAAACGCCTCCTGCTTGAGCGGGGGCTGCGAAGGTCGCGCGGCCGTCGACGAGCGGGGACACTGACACGTGGGGGCAAAGAAGTTGGTGAGCTTTCAGTCCCGGAGATAGCCTATAGGCTGTAGTACAAGAGATGTCGCGGCTGGTGCTGGTGCTACATGCTTGCATGTGAATTCGTGTGAAGTATCCCCGGGGCAATGGCATCGTAGTATCTCAAGTATGATGGCTCAACGGACAGAACACGTGGTTTGTGTGTGCATGCCGTAGCAGTTCTGTTGCGTGCCGAAACCTAGCCTGTAGGCACCTGCTTGAGCCTTAACTCTCGATTTTCCTTCGTTCCCCGCTTTTTGTTGTCGGTACATCCTCGACTGCAGCGCCCACAGGAGACATTCTCCCTGAGGTGATCGAGGAAGCGCTACGGCAAGGGGCTGCCTTGCTGGCGTCCCCCCCTGCGCCGCCGTCCCCGATCGTCTCTTCCTCTCCGACTGACACACAAGGGGGACAAGAAGAGGTAGGGGAGGCCCCGACGTTGCAAGAACAAGGCGATGCCGCGAGGCACGGGCGCATGATCGCACGCGAACTGAGCGCCAGGGCAGAGCGGTCAGGATGGAACACGTCGGCGTTGTTCCTGGAAAAGGCGGGGGCGGTGAGGCTACGACTTGTCCGCCTGCCCGAAAATTGCGGCGACTCTTCTCCGGGTGGCAGGAATGCGGCGGCGGCGGCGGCGGCCGGGGGGTGATCCTGATTGTTTAGAGCTAAGCTCTCGCTAATGGTTGTTCTGATTTTTTTAGGTTTTAGCCGTACCCTCGGATACGTCGCTGGCCACGACGACTCTCTCTTAAGTAGAGCGTTTTTTTTTTTGTGTGTTTTTGTTGCGCTCGAGATATGTAGATAGTTGTGGTGACCGTAGTTCGAAGTTTGGTCGTGAGGTAGCTTTGGGGGTTTGGTGTTGTTGTTTGAGCATTGTGCCAACGTACAAGTGAAATCAGTGCGTTGTGTACGATGCCGTAGACTTACCGCTACGCCTTAGCGAGCTGAGGGGTGTACATGCGTTGTAGAAGTGATTGCATTGAAGTACCGTGGTATAACTCTTGCTATTGCGTGGTATGGTTATTCATGGTGCAACAGCGACCTGCTGTGGTAGTTATTTAAAGGGGTGCCTGTGGACCCCTGGTGCTAGCGATGGCCATCTTGCTGAAATGGTGAAATATGTGCTACAAAATCTACTTGCTTGTAGCAGATACTTTACGATACAGTAGTGGGCCCTCTATAGTGCCGGGTAGTGTCCAGAGAAAAAAGCGGCACTATACCGGGCACCGGCAGTATTCAGAATAGTGCCTCAGTAGTGCCGGTACGGCACTATTGAGGCTTCGAATACCCCTCACCGGCACTACTGAGTAGGTGTTGATTTCATGGTGCAGCGCTCAAGCTTTGCGGGGCCAACAGAGTACGATGTGGATCGTGGATCGAATATGTGTAATATTATTATTATTGGTGGACGTCTAAGTCCTCGTTGCCCTCCTTCGATGTTGTCAGATAAAAAAGACAACAGAGAACCACGACAGGGAGCGCACCGCACGAAAAATAAACGACCATTACTACACACTCTACCACAGTTGTTCTCCCCGCCCTCGCAACGTAGCAGCAACTCTTTCATGTCTGCCTGGCGCACCCCCTTGGATGTCGCAAGAAAGAATCAAAACAACCCCAAGAACACAAGCACGACAGGAAGCGCACCGCACGGAAAATAAATGGCCATTTACATACATACTCTACCACAGCTAGCTAGCTAGCTGTTCTCCCCGCCCTCGCGACGTAGCAGCAACTACTCTTGGATGTGACAAGCAGAAACAAAAACAAAGAAAAGCACGACAGGAAGCGCACCGACCGGAAGAAAAGCAAACAACCATTGCTACAACAGCTAGCTGTACCCCAACCTTACTTACTCCGTAGCAGCAACAAATAAATTCTCTCATGTCTGCATGCCGCAATTAATTGCCGTGGAGCCGCCCGCCACATACATACATCCTCCCTGGCAGACGTGGCCATGAGGGTCTTGCGGCGTCCTGTCCTCCTGTTGAAGGCACAGTTAGTTCACCTTCCTTCCGCACAAGGCATGGTGCGCCTCTGCGTAGAGCTCTTATTATGGTCTGCAGCAGCTGGTTGGTGTACACTCTTTTCGGTGTGGCGTCTGTCCTCTCTGGTGTGTCGTGGTGTGTGTGTTTTTTTATTATTAGCATCGACCGCACTAACCGGGACCAATGAAAAGACGTCAGTGCCAGCGGGTACAAATCAAGGTCCCCGGAAGGGGGCCCAAATTCGAAAAATGCGCAATGCGCTATTTAAATGCGAATGCTAATACGACTCTCTCTACATAAATATATATATTTCATGTAGACACACATCTATCTTCAGCTATACACAAATAAATGCCCTCGCCCGAACCTAGGAAGCCCAAAGAGCGGAGGACAGCAAAATAAAAAAGGGTTAATTCAAGCCCAGCCGAAACCAGGATATCGTGGTATGCTGCATCTCCCAATTTGATAATCGTACACTCCCAAGATCCAACAGTCATCGTGTCAGCAGCTAGATGACTCAAACAAAATAGCAACACATACACGCCATAGCTCCACACATGTGTGTGTGTGTGTGTTTGTTTTTGTTCTCCCATTCATTATTGTTTCTGTCGTCTGCCCCACTGGCCCACATCCTCACTGACTAGCTAGACGACCCAACCAACCGGGGTCACACAGGAGGGGGGGGCTGGACCCCCTTCTGCGGTACATGCCTATGATTGTTTTTATCGCGAGAGGGTTCAGTACTCCCACCCTCGTCAACAGTGAAGTTGATGCACCAAGGCATCATTTACTAACTAACGAATTCAGGAGAAATTGCTTCCAATTCTTTCAGGAACGAAAGTAAGAAAAAAAAACAAATCGCCGGGGCTCGGACCCATGACCTGAAACTTAGAAGGTTAACGTGGATACTACCAACTAGACCACCGGGGCGACCGGTAGTGTGTGTGTGTGTCTACAGCAGGTAGTGAACCGGCACTATTGGGGGGCACAGCGGCGCCCAACCGGCACTATAACGGGCCATCCCAATAGTGCCGGTCCGGCACTATTGAGGGCGCTGTCTGTGTCCAGAAATTTGACCGGCACTATACCGGGCACCGGCACTATTCAACCGGCACTATAGAGGGCCCACTACTGTATCGGTACAAGTACTGTATCTTGCCGACACCATGTTTTTGGTTTCGTCACACCCTGCTCCCTTAAAAATAATGCCCAGAGGGTCATTTTGGTGTCTCCTCGCGCGTCTGGGTCGTCCCCCTCTGACGTTGATCTGTGAAGGCCACAGGGTTGGCCGTGGTACATACCGCGCAAGGCAGGACAGACAACGCGGACCACGGAGGGGGGGGGGGGCGGGTGAGATAAAAAAAAACGCCTCTCGAACCAAAAAAAAAAGGTGGACGAAAAAAAACACACGTACTCGTGCGTGTCCGGTGTGTCACCCACCCATCAGCGCCGTCCTCACCCCATCCATCACACGCATCATTGCATCATTACACCCCCCAACAGCACCCAGGGAGAGATACACACCTGGCGATTGGAGAGATGGCAGCAATGAAGTCGGTCTTATTCTTGGCGTCCACGGCCCTCGTGCTGCTGAACAGCTCCACCGCTTTCGTTTTGCCAGCAGCAAGAGTTGGTGAGTTGATGAGACCAGCACACAGCTCAGCTCTGAGAGGAATGGTGAATGCGTAGGACTGACCGACCATGTGTCCAGATAGAACCTCAGTGTCCACGGTTCCAAACGACTCCGCCCGCTCTCGCTGTCCAGTCTCTGTTGGGTGCATCGCGTTTTTGTGTTCTCATGTGACGTGCCTACCTGGTATGCTACGTGTTTTGATGCGATCATCAACAAGAAGAGAGGGAGAGCCAGCTGGTCCGCTGCTGTTGTCATGTTCACCTGACGTGTTGGTCCACCTCATTCAGCAGATACACTTCGACGTACATACTTCCGTGCCAGGAAGAAGACTTTTACACAAAGATAGGTGATGAATTAACCCCCTAAGCTGGCGTGCCGTGGACCAAAAGAAGTTCACATGCATCACATGTAGAGTCCCATCGACGCTGTCTGCTCTAGACTATAATAGTGGAGACCGCCGTAGTTGCGTGATGCCACCCCCCCGTTTGGACCGATTTTCAAAGCTCGATTACTCCTCACAGCAGAAGGAATGGCGGTGCCGAAAATGGCGGCGTTGGAATCGTCTCGTCGAGAGCTTTCCGAAAACGTACAATTGGATGTTGGGGTCCTCTGCGCCGTGGAGTAATTGAGCTTTTGACAATCAGCCAGAGAGGGGGAGGGGTGTTATCTTGCGCAATTACCGGGATGTCAGTTTGAATCCTCTCTAGGGCCTCAGCCTTCACGCCTAGAAATGCCTCCCCAAGCCGAGTGGCATGATAACGCCTCAACAACAGCAGTTGTGCATACACCGCAAGCGACCATGCCCTTGTTGTCGTCAAGAATAAAACCACCAAAAATCCTTAAAGCAAAATTCGAAACCCTCGCTTCGGTGCCAGATCGAGTCGTCATGAGATTGTTCAGGACCGCTCGCCACGCTGTCTGCCTTGCGCAGTGATCCTGTTGACAAAGTCGTACTGCGCGCCGGAGCAGTAGGAATATCTCAGGAGTTTCCTGATTCATGTGTTTCTGCGAAGACGCACATTCGGCGAACGGCCGAAGCACCTTCCAAATGAAGACATCTGGATTGCCACTCCGTACACACACTGCTGAGCGCTGATAATACATTTGCATACTATACCGAGCTCTTTCTTTTTTCTCGTTTAGACTGCCTGAAGCGGGCAGGCCCTCCACCTTTCACCTTTCTCGCGTCTGGCCGAGTAACAGCAACACGCACCCGGCTTTGTACCAATCGCGGTGCGAGGCAAAACCTGCTCATATCGAAAACGCTACATTCAGCAGTAGCCTGCAAGTCGAGGCTAAACTTGCGATGGTCGCCGACTACTACTGTTTTGGTCGTCCGAGGAGCTGTCGATATTTTCTCGGTGTTGCTCCCCGCCCTCCCCCTCTTCGCTCCTGCAGGACAACGAACTCCGGCGCGATCATCCCCCGCGCTCTGCACCGCCCCTGGGCGAGCAACCCGCAGCGTGACCCGGGTGCACATGTCGGCGGGTTCGGCGGATGAGGAGGAGATGAACGTGAGTGACGTATTCGTGGAGGGGAAGGAGGCATTATTTCGTCTTCCAGGTTGTAGGTTTATCGATTGATTTGTCAAAGGAGGTTGTGTAGGGCACTCGATTTTAGGGCACGGGAGGTGACGCCGGGAGTAAAGTAGATGAGCAGCACTGCGTGAGGTGTTTGTGAATACATGAATGGTGATGGTGGCTGTCCACGATTTTGTCACCTTAGCTTTTGGCCCTCTGCTGTGCTTCTCACACTGCTTTCACCATTTATCAATCTAGCGCATCCGTTGTGTACGTACCTGACGTGTTGTTTCCCCTTTGCTACTACTGCCGCTGCCACGACTGCCCAACCGAGTACCTCTACTGCTGCTCACGACCACTTTTGCTTCGTCCTGGAAATGCTGTCCACCCACACAAAGTTAAACTATGCCGCACTTGTGTCAAAACACAACTCCCCCTTCGCGTGCCCCAGTCGTTGGACAAGGCCTTGGTAGCATGGGGCGTGAAGAGCCCCCCCGGGGAGCCCGAGATCGACTTCAAGGAGAAGATCAAGTCCGCGGGGCTCGCGGGGGCGTTGGCCTACGGTGGGACCGAGCTCGCCTTCTGGATAATCAGCGTGCCCCTAGCGGTGGTGGGGTACCACCAGACCACGGGGGAATGGCTGGACCTCACCACTCTCGAGGGCAAGGAGAAGGCAAGTCTCGTTGGTTTGATCGATTCGGTGCCTTGCATGCATGCTGAGCAGTTCTGGGTTGGCAAGGTTCAGGCGGCTGTTTCCCCCCCCGACGGCATGCGAGCGAAGGCGAGCGTTCGTTTTGATCCTCCCGATACACGGTATGAAGAGTCGTGGCAACCATGGGTCAGCTTACAGGGTGTCTCAAGTTGGCGTGCTTCCTGGATGCGTCAAGCCTGTCCCTCCTTATCACCGTGCGGGTGTTCTTGTTTTGACGCGGTCATAGTCTACGTCTGTGGGCCAGTAAAATCCTCTGTCTTGGCGATATGAAAGGTAAACCTTGACGGGCATCTCATTCTGTTGTCGGAGCAACCTTTGTGGATGGGCCTGCTTGCTGTGTTGGTATCCTTGCTTATCCAACCGCTCGCTGCCACATCTGTTGCTTTTGCCGTCACTTGCTGCCACCCTCTTTTCTTTTCTGTGCACTCCCGATTTGGGTGCGATTTTCGATGGCTGCCTTGATGGATTGGGGCGGATTGGTGCTGCTGCTGCTGCTGCTGCTGCAATCGGTCGATTGGTCCGACAAAACTGCAGCTCTTCGGTTTGACGGCGGGTTTCCTAACGTTCGCGCGGCTCGTGGTGCCGTTGCGTATCGCGCTGGCGCTGGCGCTAACACCGGCCATGGACAAGTACGTTGTGAAGGGCTTGCTCAACAAGAACGAGGCAAGCGCGGACGCGGATGAGGTGCGAGTATACAACCCGACTAGAAGATCTACCAAGATCTACCAAGATCATGTTGGAATACCTCTTTCTGACTTGTTGTGTGTTTTGCTGGTTGTATCACACCTTTTACTTGTTTGTCTCGGCTCAAAACGATATAACGTCTCAAAGGACCACCTTCGTTCGGGCGATTAATAAGTTGATGAGGATATAGAACAGGGAGGGGGGACGCAGACCCTATTCTCTAACCCTAACCCAACTTCCCCGTTTGAATGCTTTATCCAACATGTGTACATAAATACGAATAATCCTATGGAGGCTAGTGGTCTCAAACATGGGCCAAATACTGTGGGAGGGGGTACCCGAACCGTAAACAAGTTCCAATTACTGTGCTACCAAAGTTGAAGCGGCGCAACTAGTGCTGCATCACCATGACTGACTTGTCCATGGGGACCTTGAAATTCGCTGCGTCTCGCCGTAAAGGGCTCTATTATTTTGTTTTTTTCCTCTCTGCTTTGGTGTTATATTGAACCTGTCCGCACTTTCTTTTTTTCTCCCCCGCTTTCTTTCTCGCCGTTCTCTCTTCCGCTCGTCTTTGTGACGTCAGTGATGGCAACGACGACATAGGACTCTCCGGCCGCCTGAGGCAGGCCGAGATCCAAGTGGTCAGCCGAAGTCTCCGAGACAAGCTGGACCCCTAAACGTTCTTGTCGCGCGCCCGCAACGTGTTGGCTATATGTTCGGGCTGTGTGCACACACACCGCGATGTGTTATCAAGTCCGCGGGGACGAGGGGGGGGGGGCGTACTCATTTGTTGCTTGCCGTAGTCATTTGACCATTGACCACGCGTCCCTTTCGAGACGGAGCACCGTTCCTACACCTACTAGAGACAACACCAACATTTGGGAGCTCTTTTCGTTTCTGCCACAAACTCCACAAACTCCATAGGGGGGGGGTCGCTGTGGCCAGTACTAAAGTGTCACCTACACGAATTGAGTCATTTCCAGTGCCAGAGTAGAGGCGTGAGTGAGCGTCTTTCCTGCGGGGTGCTTTAGTCTCGTGCAGAGGGGTGAACTTGTTTGTACTTTTTTATCGGTACAAGTCGACGTGCTGACTGTGCGGTGTTTAGGGAGCAGCATATCTCGTTGCAGAGTGTCTCATGAACACAGGATGGGAGCAAAGACACGTGGCTCCACAATGTGTCGGCTAGCTCGCTGGTTGGAAGCTGTCCGGCCAACTCAGGAGTGAATAGATCGTGAGCCGTCCTTCAAGGGCTAGGAAAAGTATCCCCGGTGCCAAGCTAAATGCATTGATGACAGCACGGGCTCAGGGAGCGTACTTTTCCTCGCAAGACTTAGTTTTGGGTGCGAACGCGATCGGTTGTATTGCGGTCCGTGGCAGGTAGTGTGGAAGTTTTGAAGCAAAACGTCAAAGGGCTGATGTTCTACTCGTAAATAACTTTTTATGCATTTGGTCGTGATTTCACACAAGCAAACAGAGGAACGACTGCTAAAACCCGTCTCGCTCGGTCATAAGTATCTGGTACATATCTCGTCTGCCTTTTCCCTCTTGTTCTCCTCAATCGCCGCACCACTACCCGCAGTCTACCCTAGCCCCGAATGATATGCGAATCATCTTGCCAAGACCCCAAAGATCGACAACAACGCACCCAAAGATCGACAACGACGCATTGCCACAACAGTATCCGAGATGGCCAGTATCTTGCCGCGCCACGGCTCTCCTCCGATACGCTACTTCCGCGACTTCCACGACCACGACATGGACACCAAGGGGCACTACCACTTGGAAACACGACAACTTGAACACTAAGTCAGGGGGACTGTGGGCTCGTCACAATTAACCCGCCAGGAGTTGACGATGCCGCAAGGGCCCTCAACAGCACAACACAGCAGTAGTAGCGTGCAAGAAGCACAGATTTCGACCACGAACGCACCGTCCTGGCGACCACTGCTGTATCATACAGATAAAAAATGTGCGGACATGGTTCGGCCTCTGAGCCTGCGTGGTCACCCACGCCAACACCCCGCTGGCCGCAACAAGAAGAGACAGTGAGACCTCACCACCCACTCGAAGGCCACGCACAAGTCGAAATGCGCAGCTATGACCCTCTCGCAATGCGCCACGTGCGCTCGCTCCCAACTTCCCAACTGCTGTACATCATAATGCCTTGAACGGCGCATACGTGTAGTACTTCGGCACGGAGTCTAACCTCGCGTGCAGCCTGCGTGTGGAGAGCAGGCGCGTGCGGGGGGGGGGTACGCGGCCAAGGTGGGGGGGGGGGGAACAAACTCCCCGAGCGGTTGAGTACAAAGCCAAACACTGGGGCAGTCCGGCTTCGAGCGTGCAAAGAGGTGCTGCAAATCGATTTCGTGTCATCGGAGGAACACCACGTCGTTCCATCTTCGTCCGAACCATGTTCCCGAAGATGTTTGGCGGCCGTACAACGATAGACTGTAACTACAGAGAAGGGTTTCAAATACGTTTGTTCTGTGGTTGGAACACGAGCAGCAGCACCGGTCTTACAACACAAGGACCTCCCCGCCCCCGTTCCGCCCCGGCGTTGTAGGGATGCGAGGCCAATGGTCTAACGACTACGGCATGCATTTAAATGAGTACCTCCCGTCCCCCCCGGCCTTGGGTAACCGACTTAAAGCACACGTACCAGTATACCCCAAGTCCCGAAGTGCTGAGCCAGACAGGGGTTTCGTCAGCTCTGGAGGCGATCTCGTCTTCAAGGCCCTCGCCCACAGCGCCGAAAAACTGAACCACCTGGAACCGCGTCGGTAAAAAGGAAATTAATTCTGGTAGTTCCTTCCGATGAACGTTTCAACGGGACACCAAGAAGCACTTTAGTATTGGATTGTTGTGTGATTCACCTAGCATCGCCTGTTGCGTATCAACGCCAACGATCACACCCAAGACAGGCCGCCGTGACGTGGTTCCTGTACACAAAAACAATACAGCACGAGATGAGATGAAACCGCCGCACAGAGGGAAACCCTTTCGTTCACCACCCACGGAGAGGACAAACAAACATGTTTCCACTGCTGGGGCAGGCAGAAACGTCTTGGAAAACAACAAACCGCAACAAGACAGTCAAGCGCGGCCAACAAGAAAGGGAGGTCAGCAGAGGTACCTGGTCGCGAGGTGCGGTTCGCAGGAACGCGGCGAGGTGGGCGTAGTTGGCCCCCGGCTGCTGCCCTCCCCGGCACGGCACGACGAGTCGAGCGTCTCTCCGGAGATTTCGGAAGGAAACCACGTCGTTGGTGCCTGAAAAGCAATAATCAATAAACGAATCGCTTGTCACCCCATGAACTTATGACACGAAAATGGCGTACGTATCCACGTGGTAATAGTATCGTGGTGGGCGCTGCTGTCGGTTTGGGTTCTAGGCCACCGGTCGATATTGTGACGCGCGGAAGCGTGAGGTTGCTTTTGTGAAGCATAACCCGAGAGGCGAATCAAAATAAAACGGGAGTGCTATGTCTACCTACAATCAATCATCGCTATCAGCTTCTTCTGCAACTGCGCCGGACGAGCCAATCAATGCGAGAAAACGGAGTACGGCATCGAAGGGGGGCAGAAGAGAAAGAGAGGGAGACAAGGAGAGAAGACGACCAAGAGAGGAGGATCGACTGCGCCTGTAGAGATAACAGCAGTGAGACCGGTAGGCAGGCAGGCAGGCAGGCAGGCAGGCAGGCAGGTAGATAGATCGATACAGTCGTATTAATAGGCTCTCAATAAGGCGGGTTATATAAGGCGGGTGCCCGCTATAGGGCGGGTGAATCGGTCTGGCGCATACCCGTCTTATAGAGGGCCTACGACTGTAGATGGCCCCGGCAAGAAAGGTTATACATATCGAACGGGTAGTCTTTCTGTGATGGTATTTAAAAAAGAAGAAAGCGCACTACAGCACCAACACCATCGGCAGGCGCCTTACCTTTTCGGGACGCGATGTGTTCGGCGAACGGACGGCCATCTGCCGTCACCGCCGCCAGCCTTGGAGAGTCCACTAGCACGTACTCGTACGGTTTGTCCTGGAACAATCGGCGGCGATTCGGGGAAGGGATACAATTGTACACATGGATAAGCAGAGGGCGGAGCGCTCGTTCGTTGTTGTTTGCATCCGAAGTTTTGGAGCATGGGCCATGCATTCCTTGGAATTCGAGAGAGCCACAGGACGATTTGATTCCCACTCGTCCACGACTTGACGCTTCCAAACACACACCTGTGGGCGCTCTATAGGCGTGTGCCTTACGATACTTCAGAAATGGCCCAAGCAACGGCACACCTTTCCTTGCCCCCCTCCTGTGAAGACTGCTGCTACTGTAGTATCTCGCAGACGCAGCCGAAACACACGCGACATTTCGTCGTACTTGCTCAACGCCTACAAGAGGGGGCGCGCTGTCCCACGACACCTGCGAGATGAAAAGCCGAATTATTGCGGGAAAATCTGAGATAGATGTGGAATGGAAGCTAACCGTTGCTCCCCGCTGCTCCTAATTCTACCACCATACATATGCATACCAATGTGCAGGGTGTGCGTATCAAAACCGCCCCCTCACCGTCGTGGTCCTTGTGACAGGTGCCGACTCCCAAAACACCGCTTCGAAGTTGGCCTCCTTCATGGACTCCAAGAAACAGTCCGGCAAGCCTTTCTTGAAGAGGTCGGCGACCTCTCGGAAGTTCAGGGTACGCCACGTCGCCGCCTCGGCGGGGTCTCTGCCGTCGCTCCCGACGCTCTCTTGGAGCACAAACTTAACGAAATCGTTACCCGCTGCCACCCGGTTGGCTCGGTATCCCCCCCCCTGCTGCTGCTGCTGCTGCGGAGAGACTCCGTCCTCGGTTTTCTCGCTCATGATATCTGGGAGTCGCCGTTCTGGTGCCGTCGCCGTTGTCCTAGTAGGGGGCAAGAGTCCGGCCGACACCACCAGGAGAAGCACCAGCGAGGCAGAGATCAGCGAGTAGAGAAGTGCGGGGCGAGGCGAAGAGCGACGAACACGGAAGGACGTCGGCATCACATCGACAGGGGGTAACAAGGTTGCCATTCTCAGTTTTGGCGGGGGGCCTGCGGCGAGGTAATTGGTATTTACCCCAGGGTGGGTAAAAAATAGTCAGAAATGATTTTGCGTTGCCTCTTCTACATGCTCCACCGTCGCACGCATCAATTGCCATACCTGATTCTCTTCTTGCCCCAACTAGCGACACAAGTAGCTGAACTAGAGAACCATGTCGGGCGAATGTGGAACATGGCCGGAAGGCAAGGAGATGGCGCTCGAAACGTGAGAGAGACAGCATTCCTGCGTTTCCCTGAACTCGTTACTGAATGTATGCAGCCTGAGATCGTCGCGGTTCTGTGTGGTTGAACTACAACAAGACGCACAGGCAGCCTGCAAGGTTGAACAAGCCTGCACCCTCGCGTTGGGTGGCTTGGTTACCCTAATCACGTCAACAAACGCGTGCTCTGCGTCTCTGTCTCTTTCCTTCTGCCGTGCTCCTGCGCGCCTCGACGATTGCTGAACGACGAAAAATACGCGCCGCAGCAAGCTTGTCCACCAGGGCATCAACCCGGACAAGGAAACGGGCGCTATCCTCACGCCAATCGTACAGTCCACCACGTTCATCCAGGACTCCGTCGAGAAGTACCTGGTGAGTGACGCCTGCATGCTCGGCGTCGGCAGGGTGGTCTTCTGTGTTTGCCAGCGCGTTGGTTTTGGAAGGCATATGTGCTGTGTGTGCGCCAGAGACCCGAAAAGGGAGGATCGACACGTGTGACACATGTTTTTTTTATGTGTTGCATTTTTTGGTCTGATGGAACCTGCCGCTGCCGCAAAAGCTACAACGATCCGTTCTGGTCTCTTAAAATTAGCGGGTGGATCGCGAAACTCATCACCTGCTGAAAGGTTAATAGGGCCAATACCTCGAGAGAAGAGTGCATGGACAACAAACTCTCGAGATCGGCACTTCCCATGTACACATGGGGCGTGACTTCTGAGCCTCCTTGTTGTGTGTCAATACAAGGATTAACCTGGAGCCAGCTGGTGGCGCATGTTGGGGCCTCCGCTCGGGGAGATTGCTGGTGCATGTTGACGAAATGTTTCCAAAAGCTCGAAGTCTGCCGTTACTTCCGGTATACACATGGTTGTAACTACTACAGCCAGGCCCTGATTTATGTCAACTGCAGTTGGGAATCAAGCCAGGGGATACGAGCGATCTTCACGTTGGCGACGTGGACGAACTAAACGCAATTTCAAGAGTCTTGGAATTGCCATCCTTTTGGCCCACGATCATACCCGCCGCAATCAGGGAATGTATCTCCACGCGGCAAATCGAACGCGTGCATTGTCGGCAAAACTCCTGAACGCGGGGAGAAGGCATTATTTAGCTGTTTAGAGATGCATGTCCCAGCCCTTGCGCCCCCTCCGACAACATTGCGGCCGCTTGCTCTAATTCAAGGGTCGTTTATGACGTTGCGGCTTCAGTTTACAGGGGCTGCGGTCAGTTACAGGTTCGGAGGAACGGGCGTGTAGCAGCAGTAGAGCACTTGTACCAGTCGAGACCTCGCGGACAAAAGAATAGAAGGCAGAAATTTCCGTTCACGTTCCTGATTCCTGATGACGAAGCGGAGAGAAATAGTTCCAAGCCGTCTGAGACGAGAGTCGAACAGCAACACAATCTCTTCGTCCTAATCCTCCGTTCTGCGTACACTCTTTCGCGCATGGTGCATAGCGGTACATAGTTGTGTTGTTGCATGCTGACACTCACTGGCTATATGCGACGCGCCTAGTTCGTTCGTACAAAGTTGATTGGCGCAGAGATGCTGGGTGTATAGACTACGTAGATGCCTGTGGGTCACTCGCGTTTGTCAGCGATGTGGGCCCTGACGTTACAGTCAGAGTGAACATTGTCTTACTATAATAGTGGTTCGGGTTTTAGCGCCGCCCTCGAGATTGCTGTTTTTGACGTCCACGTTCTGTCCGCAGTCGGACATCCAAGTCCGACCGACCATAACGTATCCACAGTGGTAAATCCCTGCACACGTCGGAGTGAGCGGGGTGTTGACAATCTGGTGATACTAATCATATCGATCTCCTTGCCAGCGTTGACATACCGTTGTGTCCAAGACGGGGTTTCTGAATGTACTCGAAACTGACTGGTGTCTTTTTGGGTCTACATGTTGTCATCACGTTTGCCATATTGGGTTCACACACATCTCGTTTATCATCGCTTTTTTTCTTTTTTCATACTGAGAGGGGGGGCGGGGGTGGGATACTGTTGTATTCTTATCCCTTACCCAGATCATTCGATGCAAGTATTGGATTTGGTTGCGTGAGGCCTCCTGCGCCTGCAGGAGGGCCTCGCCACAAGTAACCCTTAGGGCTGGGTGTGCCCAGGCCCAAAGTGTTTGAATGATCAGTAAGTTCATGAATATAGTAAGCATTGTGTAGGGCGGGTGGGATGGTCTCAAATATACCCCTTCTTCCCTGCTCCGGCGTATTTCGGGAGAGAAAAGGGGGACTAAACTAGGTAGGGTCATTTTCCAACATCCTTTCTGGAATATCTGACTCTTCCCGATTTCGTTCCGAAATCTAGATGCGTCTCAAATCCGAGATTACTGTTGTATTCTTTTCCCTTACCCAGATCATTCGATGTAAGTATTGGATTTGGTTGGGTGAGGCCTCCTGCGCCGGCCTGTGGTCCCGCCCATTACTTTCTTGTTGATTATCCGATCTGCCACATCTTAGGTATTGACCACGCACGCCTCTAAGCTAGGTCTCGCCCACCCAAACTTTCTTTATTTCCCGCGGCGAGCACACGCAGAGAAATAGCATGTGAAGTCAGCCGACAACGGCAACGCGTTTGAGTCTGCGTACAGCTCGCTACGGATCCTCTTGGAACCCGTTGCCCCCACACTAGTAGTGGCGCCAACATATCGCTTCGCTACACTCTCCGTACGCCACCCGGCAATTTTCATGATAGCGCCCATCGCCGTTCTGTCAATCGGCTGCGCTACAGAACCTCCCACGCGGGACGAGTGCATAGTGTAGCGGTGCGGCAGTCCCGCCGCTCGCAAATGCCCTTGTAGGGCAGCCGTCATCTGAACCGCCGTAAGCGGAGCGCAGCCCCGAGTTCCGTCCAGCAGAACGACAGGAAATAGATGCCCTTGGGACAAATCCCAGCCAATACCCTCCGCCGCACTGATGTAGGCCGTAACATTGCTTACCGCACAAATAGACGGGCAGGCGACGTCCGGACGCACGACAACGGCATCGACAGAGTAATGGAGGGTCTTACCAAACTGGAAGTTGAAAATCGGACCCTGCCCCGCGGGCAACCGCAGAAGTTGCGATCCCATAGTGAAGGAGAGATCATGGCCTCGCCGCATGGAGGCGAACGCCAGCGAAAACAAAGCGACGTCCCTGGTGAGCTCAATACGTCCCGCCAAAGAGGACGCAGTCTGCGCGCGAGAGCGCATGTCCCTCAACAAATCGATGAGGATGTGCGGTAACATAGCCTCTGCCTGGTTGACAGCGACACCCATACGTTTTTGTTCCTCCCCTGTGAAGAGGGCGGACCACAGGCCGGCGCAGGAGGCCTCATCCAACCAAATCCAATACCACTTACATCGAATGATCTGGGTAAGGGATAAGAAAACAACAGTAATCTCGGATTTGAGACGCATCTAGATTTCGGAACGAAATCGGATTCAGATATTCCAGAAAGGATGTTGGAAAATGACCCCACCTAGTTTAGTCCCCCTTTTCTCTCCCGAAATACGCCGGAGCTATCGAGGAGGAGGGATATACTTGAGAGTCGTAACATGCCGCCTCGCAACACGCGGCGCTCCACGGCGGCGGCTTCGGCGGCTGCTTCTTCTACAACGGCTTCCTCAGCGGCGGCGCCTGCTTCCTCAGCGGCTGCTGCCCCGGCGGCGGCTGCCGCGGCCCCAGCGGCTGCCAGCGCGCCGATGGGACCGCTTTCCCCGCCTCCGCCTGGGCTGCCTCCCCGGCCCGACCGCCAGACGGTCACGTTTGTGGACGCGACCACGGCGACCTACGCTCCTGCCGTGCTACGCGGCGCTATGCCGGGAGCAGGGGCAACGCTGGACCTTGGGCGGGTGTTCGACCGCAACCGCCTCGGTTGCGATCAGGGCACTGTGGAGGAGTTGGTCCTCCGTTTGAGTGAGGTGGCCACTCGGCTGCCGCCCCTTCCCGGGGCGGAGATCTACACGGCGGTTTTGGCGCGCGCCAGGAAGGTGGCCACTTCGTGGGCGGGCGACAAGTCAGTTGCCTATCGAGGCGAAGAAGCCCCTGGCCGAGTACATTGTGGAACTCGCGCTCCGCCATGGCAGTCAGAAGGCTGTGTGCTGTTGGAAGCAGTAGAGGACATCGTTCTGCCTGCCCAACTCGGAGGTCCGGCGGCGCGGTCCGCGACGGCAGCGCCACCGGCGGCTGCTGCCGCCCCGGCCGCCGCCTCGGCGAGGTACATCTCCGATGCGGAGCTGGCTCAGCGGAT